TGATTGAGCAGCTCATTTTAGCTTGTAATGACTTTGAACCCATTATTTTTCATTAATTTTTCTGGGTTAAATAATGCTTTGAAGTAATTTTTCTGATTGGTTTTTGTTTCTTTTATTATTTTTTTTATTCCTATCTAAAGTAGTTGTATTCTTAGTTGATACAAATTGGAAACCAAATCTAGACTGTGGCAGACTGACTTGTCCCCTTTTTGGGTCTTTCCTGTCATCTGGCCATGGCTGAAGCTCCTATTATTGTGTTGCTTCTCTCATTTGTCCCTCCCTCATCTGCACTGCTTTTGCTTGCCCTGCTGCCCATAGAGCCTTTCTCTTTGCTTTCTCTTCTGTCAGATGCTTCTCTCTCCTGTGCAGTATCACAGCTACTGACGGTTGTGGTACCACTTCCATCACTTTGTTCTTCATGCCAGTTGGAAATCTCACACAAATACCCATCTTTTCCTCCTGCCTATGGCTCTTTTGAATTCTTCTTCCTGCTAGTTGCGTTTTTTTAATGCAATATTATAATTGATGATTGAATAAAGAGCATTTCAAATTATTGTGAAATAGGTTTTGTAGAAGCATCTGTGTGTATTGTCAGCCCTGCTTAGCTGTGTGCACTCAATAATCATTCTTTCCTTGGTGATCTTCAGTGTGCTGCCTCTTCAGAGAAGGTCACTTTGTATCTGGTGCCTTATTGTTTTCAGATAATACGCCTGTGCATAAATTGCTGGTAAAGGATTCCTGTGTTACATTTCACTTAGCTGCCAGTGCTGTCCCCCTCCTCCATCTGTTAGAGGTGTCATCGTCTCATGGCATTGTCATAGGGTGTCAGTGCAGAAACATCAGTCCTCAGCTCTGCTGTTGAGTGCCTGTGATGCCAAAGGCATATCCTTAATCTTTCTAGATCAATAAAGTAAATAACATAATTCATTACTTACCTTGCACGACCATTAAGAAGATTTCAAGTGCATATTAATATTGCTCTAGGAGTATATGGCACTGTATGAATGCTTGCTGGTAAGTGGAGGATTTTTCACTTCCTCAGCATTTTGAGAAGGTTCTCCTCTTTAGTTATAACTAGCAAAAACTTGGATTTAGATTTAGGCTGTTGGAATCACTTGAAAACTATCTTCCATCTCAGAGTAGCTGAACACCTTGTCTCTTCTCCCCTGGGGACAGAAACACTTTCAGCTGAAGAAATGTTCTGAAAGATTTAGCTCTGGAATATGAACGGCCCCTCTGTACTGAAATCAAGTTTGAACCTCAGAATTCTTGTCCGTATGTTATCAGTCACTGCAGGGCCAACTTTAACCATGGGCTGAAGCAAGGGGGAATTTAAAAGAGTGAAAGCCATCAGGAGCTGTCTCCATGATTCCTTATGAAAGAATGCTTCCAGTAGCTATACCTTACTGACCCAGTCAGGGCAGCTGGATTAGACTTTAATCAAACCATCACCAGCACCATCAGTGCTTGATGATCCATCAACCTGACTTCTTATGGGCTGATAAGGTGGATGACTCTGGGAAATAACCCACTTGCCCCTGCTCTCTGCACCTCTGCAGCATCTCCCATGAACTTACTGCTTGTAATGTATCTTGCTGCAAGATGCTGCGTCTCTGGGAATTTTGAAAGGGATTGAAGAAGGAAAGGAAATAGGTTGCTAGGGAATCTTGAAATAGCTATGGATGCAACATCGGGTGCTGTGAGTCAGATTGATGCCACTGGTCAGGCTTCTCAGATAGTACATATCCGAGAATACATAGCTCATAAATGTGTATCTCTGAAAGCAGTCACCTGGTACAGTGAATAGTGCAAAGACAGGGAGCCGGGGACCTGCAGCCTTCCCTTCTCTGGCACTGTCTGCTCTTCTTTGCCTCCCTTATTAAGAAAGTAAGCTTAGGGCAAGAAATTGTAACTTCATGTTAGCACAGTGTAATGGGGTCCTGACCTTGGTGGGGGCTCTGGCTGCCACTGGAATGCACACGTTAATAACAGTGGTGACCTGTTCTATATCCTGTTATTCCAGTATCCAGCTTCAGTTATGAGGAACAATTTAATCCAGGAAATATGGTGGAAGTATCCACTAGAAAATATGGTTATAGTTTATTTCCTTTCCCTTTTAATTTCAGCAGTATATAAATGTTTTTCAGAAAGAAAAGGGTGCCCCTTAAGTACAGTAGTGCAGAGCTTTCCGAGAGTATACAAAGATATTTGTATGGAATGGCTATCTGAACAGTCTTATGAGCTTCTGTGCTCAGAGGATTTCAGACCTTCTACATGTCCATAAAGAAGAGGAGCAAAACTGAATTCTAAACAAGCATTACAGTCAGGAGCAGCAGAAGTCATCTTCTACAAGTACAGCAACAGCTCACAGACCTCCTCCTGCCAGGATAGAAGTGTTTTTACCTGCAGTTGGTGGTGGTGCAGGTGGGAGTACTGTAGTAGGTATGGCATCTGCAAGGAAAATACACCAGAATGGCAGGAAAACAATGCACTTTTGCAGTAACACTTCACTGCAGACCTTTAAGAATCCAGGACACAGGAGTTTACTGAGACTGTCATATTATCAATTCCTAAGCACTATTAGCTGAGACAACTTACAAATGGTTGGATTAGTAGCCTAAAGGAATTGTTGGCCTTTGCCAAGACAGATAGAAAGAGTTACATCGAAGATTCAAGTGAATCAGTCACCCCAGTGTGTAGGTGTCAGGATGGATAATAAGCCTTTATTCTCCTTCTAGGACTGCAGTAGTCTACAACGGGATGAGAACTATCAAATAGAAGTACACTGATCACAAATTGCCTGTAGTAACAAGCAACAGCCTGGCAAAATCAACCCAATCGAGGGGATTAGAGGATGGAGTTGACAGCACATTCTTATGGGTATTTTTAATGTGGCTCACAATTCATGAGGGTATTTGGATGGTACAGAAACTGACTGTGCTGTTAGTGGTAGAAAACCATTCTCCAGCATCTATTTTTAGGGTCACAGGAGGAACTGCAGCTCAAGTGAAGGATAATTTGAGTAATTCTGAGTTTCACTTCAAATGAATAGAGTTTTAGCCCTTTTCAGGGAAAAAAATGTACCTATATCATTTACTTTGTGGCGTGATAGTGTTGGTGTTGCCTGTATGATGGAGTATAGCTCACCTCTTAGGCAGATTTGCTCCAAGATGGTAAGAAATGTTGTCAAATAAAGATGGTAATATGCAACTGATATTTTATTTTCACACTCCAGAGTCCCATTAATGCATTTCAGACATGTGAGCACAGAAGTTACCAGTGAACCCTTAACTGAATGGGGAAATTGAACACGGCAGAGCAGGGATAAAAAAGCTGAAAATTACATGTGTGTTTCCAACAGCCATCATTTTTGCTTGGAAAATAGTGTGCTTTGCTGTGGCAAACCAGATTAACAGCTTAGCTGTAGGAAAAATGGAATCACGCTTTTATCACTGCATGTGGTGAGGTTTTTGTTTTGCATCTGTTGTGTCCTTGTTCTCTACGTACTCTTCGAGATATGATGGCAGGAGAATGTAACACTTTATTGCAGACCAGCTCCTCATCCCTGGAAGTCCATCAGCTAAGGCCCTGTTCAGAACATACCAGAAAGCCCTATATGCGGTTATGTGATTTGCTCATGGTCACCAGTGGGACTCATACTTGCAGACAGAGATCTTTGAAAGCTTACGCAGTTTAACATGTGGCAAATGGACAAAAGACTAACCCAGTGAGGTTTTCTACTGCCTCACCAACATATGGACCTGATTGAATATTATCTCCCCAAGCACTGACTTAATGAACAGAAGTGATTCAGCTCTTCCTGAAGGTCAGCAACACTGAGCTGTTAAAAGAGCAAAACATCACCGTCTTCTGATGACAACACTTCATTCCCACCTTTGATTCCCTTTTCCTACTGTGTTTAAGCTGTAGAGGAAGACTTGGCTGCCCCCAACAGCAAAAGTGAAGCCCAAGATTGTGACCTGATGTAACGTGAATTCATTTAACTTCATCAAATGCAGTGGTGGTATTTTTAGGAGTAGTTAAGTATCTCAGGAATACGATAAAGATGGGCTTATTTAGTCTTTAGAGGAGCCACTACTTGAATCTTGTGGGGCTTTCTAAATCAAGCTCAGTAGTTCAAGCTATATCTGGAAAAACTCTGTGCAGCAAGTAGTGAAGTAAGCAGAGCTCAGGTATGTAATGAGCACTACAGAAGTAGTCTCAGCAACAGGGGAGAGGGCAGCATTCTGCAAGGTCCTCAGTTATTATAGGGGTAGAAGACCCTTTAAGTCAGACAAAGAACTAAAAGATAAAGTGCTGTGCAAGCTATGTACCTAAATATGTTTTATTTTTAGGTGTATAAGCTTTACTCTGAATAAAAGACCCCAAAATTTCAAACAGAAATGATGTTTTCTTGCCTGGGCTGCCGAACTCCTGTCCTGGAATACATTAACTGATGTGGACGGTGTTCTGTGCATTGGCTTAATGCTGGTTACATGCAGAACTATAACCATATATTTAAAAAAGCCAGGCCTCTGGTATAGTGAGAAATACAAAAGGGTTTTCATTTTAGAAGGGAAAAAAGGTTCTGCAAGTAGTACTATGGGATATGTTACTGCAAACTTCTACATCATTATTTCAATGAGTAAGGGTTGCACCTCCACTTAAGCCGTTTGAGATGAAAATGGTAACTGCTATTAATTCTCCTGCTTCTGGGTATATGCTGAGTGCTTCAGATGAGTAAAGTCCCCATTACAGTATAATATGGTAAAATATCAGAGCCAGTTGCATTACACTGGGATTTTACACCCTATTACTGCTCTAAATTATTTGTCATCAGCCCTTATAAAGGCAGATTTGGTTAGCTGGACAATTGTCGATTGCAATTCGATTGCAAATGCACTGTTAGGCTTTTAAATGAATATTTAAAGTGGGTCACTGCATGATTTTTCTACAAATTCTCTTTCTATCTCCTCCTTCCTCTTCCTCTGTCTTTTAAGGAGCTTCCACCCAGAATTCCAATGCAGTGGAACCAGAAAAACAAGTTGACAGCACAGTGAAAATGGCTGGAGTTATAGCTGGTCTGCTGATGTTTGTTATTATCCTCTTGGGAGCAATGCTTACCATCAAGAGAAGGTAAGTTTCTGCTTTGCTTCCATCTTGGACTTTCTGGCTACAGTGTTGTTACTAGAAAAGAATAGATTTGGTAGAGGTAAAACATTCAGTTTGGGTTACAGAGGGCAGCAGTTAATCCCCATTTACTACCACTAAGAAATAGTCCCAGGAGAGATGCCTGTTCTGGAACATACTGTATGAGCAACAAAAGAAGGGTTGTTACTGCAATGTGTTAGTAACAATGAATTGATAATTAATGAGGAGGGATAGCTCCTGAAACAGCATGGGGAAGTACAAAGTGACAATGGGGCAATGGAAGTGGGCACGTGAGCCTGTGCAGGTAGCACTGCCGTGATCTAGGAGAAGACAACAATTCTTTGTCCGCAGCCAAGGAAAATGATGTCTTAAGATAATGTGACCAAGAGTCTTTCTCTCAAGTGAGTCTTGAGACGTTCTTTCATACAGCAATTGCTTTGCAACCAGTGTTCAGCTGGCATATTATATCTTGCTGAGGGATAGAATCTTTCCGAGAGTTAGTTTTAGTTTACAGGGGAATGAAATTCAGAAAGATCATGAATGGTAATGAAATTTGTTCAAACAGTTCATTCTGTGTGATTTTCTTTGGACCATTTGCACTTACACTTTGAAATAGACTATTGTAGTTGCTACTGTTTGAAGAGGTCCACATTTACAGTGTAATACACTGATTCAGCAAACCACTTAGGCAAGAGGTTTTCTTGAGAAAAGGTTGCATTTTGTATATATATTACCAGTCTCATTTCTGGAGTGAACCTTACTTCTCAACAGGAATTTGATTCTAAGTGAAACAGGAGCTAGGTAGCCTGGTAGACCCCTCTCTAGGGGACATGTAGCATTACATGTGAAAGCCTTGATGATTTGACTTGGTCTGTTGCAGGGATTGTGGTTTTTCAAAGCAAAGCTCTGTTTCTTTGAGATCTCTCTATGACAGTCACCTGTTTCCTAGAAATAAGAGTAGCAGTTAAATCTAGATAAGATCTCCTCTAGCAAAATCTAGAGCACATGCAAATGGAATAGCTCTATACTGCAGATGCTGGAGTGCAGGGTCGCTATTCAGAAGGACCTGGGGAGGCTGGAGAAATGGGCTGATGGGAACCTCGTGGAGTTTAGCAAAGGCAAAGTACTGCATCTGGGGTGGAGTAAGCCCGTGCATCAGTACAGGTAGGTTTGCAGAGAAGGACCTGGAGGTCTTGGTGGACAAAGCAACGTGCCCCTTGCAGCAAAGGTCAGCTGTGTCCAGAGCAGTGTTAGCAAGAGTGTAGCAAGTAGGTTGGGGCAAGTGATTGTTGCCTTCTGTTTGCCACTGGTGAGGTTGATCTAGGCATAGGGTGTCCATAGGGGATCCTCAGTATATGAAAGACACAGATATATTAGAGCAAGTCCAGAGGAGGATTAAACAAGTGTTGTGGAGGTGGAGAAACTCCATCCTTCGTGAAACTAAAAATGTGGCCAAGGCCCCTGAGGGACTTCCTGCATGTGAAACTGGTTTGAGCAGGAGGTTGGATTGGATGTCCTTTGAGTAGCCTTTCCAAATGATGTAATTCTACAAAACCGATGGTGTATGGACTGACTACAGTGAATTCCTGTTGAATTAACTGGAGATGATGGCAAGCTAGGTTTTTAATCCGATTTTGTGTGTGTGCATGTAAAGGTTCCCCATTTTGTGGGCAAATGCATATGAGTTTTGTTCTCATGTCTAGTACACTTTGTTCAGTGCTAACCCAGGCAGTACAGATGTCTCTGATTCCAGTCCCCTGGGAGCTTTTCAGTTCATAAGCAGAAAAAAAATCAGATGCCTTTAATGAAAACCAGAGGAGAAAGGGTTTCAGCAGACATGGAGCTGGGTTTCTGGTTTGGTTAATGCCCAGCCCTCATCCAGTCCTGTTACCTTCCTAAAAGCTCTTTAAGAAAAGCTTTTGTTTTCAGATTGAAAGATGAAATATGGAAGGAAAGCCATTAGAGCAATGCCACATCTGGTGTATTTCATGAGCTATTTAAAGTTGATAGCATTTCTGTCTCATCGTGTATTATTATTATAAATCATGTATATTGCTGGGCAGAAAACAAACAATGATTTTTCATGATGACCAGGACAGTTTTTCTGTGGTGTAGCCTGCCAAATGCTAAGTCAGAGAGGTAAGGATGCTCTTATGAGGCAATATACTTTAAATATTCATAGAATCATAGAATTCTGGACTGGTTTGGGTTAGAGGTTATCTTAAAGCTCATCTAGTCCTTGATCAGGATAAGTGCTACTGAGCAATAACTGAAACCATCGGTGTGTCACCAGCATCATTCTCCGACTAAAGCCAACACACAGCCCTGCACCAACTACTAGGAAGAGAATTAACTCTATTCCAGCCAAACCCAGGACAGCTTGATATAAAAATTCCTGAGCTAGTGCTGACTGCAGCTGGCCACTTCTAGTGCAGTACACATGTCCTTCTTTGGAACCAGCCTGGTCCCAAATGCTTCAATATTGAGTCAATTTGGGTGTGATGGCCCGTGGACAGAACATTGCTATATCTGGCTTTGCCATAGGCTCTGTTAACCTGAGCATCTTTCAAAATTAAATTAACAAAGGAGGTGAGTGGGAGTATTAGAAATATAAATTTTCCCCTTTTTCCTTCTGGAGCTGGAAAATTACCTTTTTCTGTGGGTCACTCCTTGCCACAATGCAAAATCCCTGCAGCCTGTATTGCTCTTGGCCTGTTTGCTATCATTTGCAAGATTACCCACTGGAATACAGACTATTATAAGAAATAAACTGGCTCATCGACTTTAAAATCTTTTCCCGTTTGGATGCTATGAGTGCAGGAAGGCTGGGGAGGATTGCTGTCCCTGGGTCAGTGAGCACACCTCCAGAATCACTGACAAACCAGCCCATCGCTTCAGTCTGGGTCTCCCTTGAATGGGCACCACCGCTTGCATCCAGTTGAGGCTTGGACCTGTATATGGACAAGTGGTCCCTGAAGATGAGCTCAAGACTGTCAGGCTCATTTCATTTGTAAACTAATGCAGATTGGGAGCAGCTTTCGTAAAAGGGAAGGCCTCTGGACCACAGATTGGTTTGAATTTCAGAGGAGCACAGCTGAAAGCTCACACTTGCCTGAGAGAACAGTTTCAGCAAAGTTGTCTTTCTGTTTTACAAACAGAATCATCAGGAGCTTAAGCTCTTGCATTAGATTTTAGCATTAACTAACTTTAAAAAGAGTTCCCCGCTCAGTTCACCAAAACTAAGGCAGGCAACAATGCAGAAAAACAATGTAATTAGACAAACTTGAGGCCTCTTCTTGAAACGGAGCTGGAAAATACCACAGTGACTTTTATTCATGGGCCAGGACATCATAGATTGTTGGTAATAGGCGCAGTAGTGGATTTCCTGAACGAAGCCTTTTGTTAACCAGTGCAAAGATCAGAGAGAGGAAAGAGACTAGAAGAGACAGAGCACTAAGAGAAGGCAGGCACTGGTTTAAGATTAGGATTAGGCAGATCATATGCAAGACACGAGCAAGTGTTGCCTGGTTGCTCATAGTTTCAATACACCATATTGCAAAACCTCTAATGACTTGCAAAGTTCTGGGGGCTGCCAATGTTTTATAGGGTTTAGTCAGATCTGTGAACATACATTAAACCAGGCAGAGTGTTTATGCAGTGGAAAATTTGGGTTTGACTTGACTTTTGTTATCTACAAGTTTTAGTCTCCTGAAGTGAGCTAAAGTTGCTGTGTGCGTGTATCTGTGCAAAAATTGTGTGTGTATATAGAAACTTCTGTTTTAAATACGACTGTCTTACAGTATCTAAAATCAAAACCATTAACATTTGTTTTCTTGGGTTTGGGAATGCACTAGCTACCTGTTTGCAATTCTACTGCCATCATATGTAGATGGACACTAATTATAACTACATCATTTAGCCTGTTAATGTCCAAGTGGTACAGTGGATCAGTGCCCACTTGGGTGCATTTGCCCAGATAAGGCAGCACTGTTTTCTTTCATTAATAGATACATACCTGGAAATACCTCCTTTTTATTGTATCAAAACATGGTTAATTCTCTAAGGAGCTTGTTTGTCCTTACTATTAAATATTTTTGAGTAATAGAATCATCGAATGGTTTGTGTTGGAAGGGACCTTAAAGCTCATAGAGCTCCAACCCCTGCCATGGGCCGGGACACCTTCCACTAGAGCAGGTTGCTCCAAGCCCCTGTGTCCAGCCTGGCCTTGAACACTGCCAGGGATGGGGCAGCCACAGCTTCTCTGGGCAACAGAGAAGACAGGACCAGTTAGTAAAAACAAGCTGAAATAAGAAAAAACAGACATTTTTAAACTTCTTTTTAGAGAAAATACCCTTTGACATTGGTCTCCCAAAGGATTAGATTTTGGTCAGTTCTGATTTCAGCTGGGCAGTTTTAACACTCCTGTGATTGTGACTTGCATTTCCCTGGAGTGAGGAATGTGACACTTTTCAGGCTGGTGCATTGAGCAGACAAAGCCTTTACTGACCCCTTTAAGGATAAGACTGAATAAATAGGATCAGACAGCCTGTCATGGGTGCACTGTAAATAAGTTCTTTAAACTGCTGTTGGTAGCAAAAAACGAGATTCAGGGCTGTGTAGGGTCTAGGATTAGTTCCTTTTATGAAAATTCAGCTCCTTAGTCTGGATTAGGATTTAGGTTGTTACCTTAAACTAATTAAATAAAACCCCAAAGCCTCTTGCACAGAACATAACATACCCAAGCTATAGGATAGAGTTAACAAAGGGACATTTGTTCATCCAGTGATCCATGTCCCTTCTGTGTCCATATTTCAGGTGGATGACAGGCAAGCTTGCAATTTGGGTGACACATACTAAATTCAGGGCACGTTTTTAGTGATCCGTAACTCTCGCAATTTTAACAGTTAGTTTTGAAATATTCCTTAGGAATTCCTTAGGTTGCATTTGGGGGTAGAATTTGAGCCAAAATGTCCTGTCCAATTCCAAAATATAATCCTCCTTTTGTTTGTCTGCTTTTATTTTCTATCCTTCTGCAATAGATCTTCCTGAGCTTTCCTCTGCAGCCTTGAGGGATTACACAGCTTTTTAATGAGAACTAAGAGTCTGTGTGATCACATGTGTCTGCTGGCCAGGACATGAGGCAAGCAGAAAGTACAGCAAGATGTTCAACAGTGTAATTCTAGTTGATAGTTGTGAGTGAAACCTGGCACTGGCTATCAGAGGGGCTGGTTTAATGGGATCAGTTGGGGGATGTAGAGTGTTCAGCTGTGTGGCCTCTCCTTTTCAACATCCTGGTGATTTTTCTCTTTGTTTAGAGGTTCAGAGGAACTTGGAATTTCCCAGTGAGTGAAGCTCAGAGGCAAGCACTGCACCTTACCTGGTGCATTGCTGTGGCATGGGGGTCAGAAGGTAATAGTGTTATGTTAAACATACATTCAGGTGGACCTTGGAATTAGTGTCATTTAAATAACTTGGTATATAGCAGGAATCTGTCCAGAATTTCAGGTTTATAGCAGGGGTCACTGCCAGGCAAAACATGTTATTTCAGAGTAATCCTCTTGAACATCTCTTAAGTCACCATCCTTTACCCAGTGTGTTCATAGCAAGGAGGGCAATTTTCCACAGAGTAATTGTGCTGAATCTGGATTCCATGTGTGCTTATGGAAGTTGTGTTCAGACCATCCATACAGTGAACACTTAACTCTGCATTTGTACTTCCTGGTATTTGTCGTGTCTTCAAGGGTGGGATTTTAAAGTCGCGCAGTTGGTTGAAGCTTGTGTTTCAGTATTTTTTCCCATTTTGACCATTGCTGCTGCTTTCTCAGCTCTGAATCTGATAACGTGCTAGATTTGTTGTGAACCAGCCTTTTCAGAGAAGCCCTTTTCCAGCTATAAGAGGGAAGACATCACCTCTTAGGTTCTCCCTGATTGCCAAGGTTCCTTTTATGGCGCTGCTCAAAACCGCATCAGAATGTTCTGAAGTGCATTGTTGAAAACCTGTAATAGAAAAGGCTTAATCACAGTGACGCAAAAGCTAATGCATACCCAGTGCTCTTCTATAAATACATAGAGAAGCTTGAATTGTTAATGAACTATTTGCATTTTAGAGTTGGATGAAGCTTGATTTATCATTACACAATTTGTTCATTGTCTAAGTATTCCAGAATTGCGGGGTTCTCGCATGCCACCTTCCTGTTTCTTGTTATTTATATTAATAGCTCGTACATATTTCTTCCCTCTCCAAAAATCTCAAAGCACTTTAGAAGCAAAGGTAAGTCTCATGACCTGTGTTACTGACATGGCAAAGTTAAAGAGGTGAGGGGATTTATTTGTGGTGACGCAGGTCAATAGCAGAAATGGAAACACAGCCTGTGTTCCCTGCCTCCACTTCAGTATCCGTTCCTCACCCACGTAAAAGCTGCTGACAAAAGGGTAGGAGAATAGGAGCTCAGTACAAGAGGCAACACAAATTCTTTGTAGATTGAAAGGAATAATCCCAGAGTTCATATAAATCTAATTCTGTGTTTTTCTTCTTTTTCTCCTTTTGGATACTTTGTTCATCTGACTGGCTGATGATATTTAGAAGAAATGCATATTCCTACTCCTATTACTTGTAAGTACTTGGCTGGGGTAATTCTGTGCTTTGTTATATTCTTTTTTTTACCACTTTTTTTTTTTTTTTTACCATTCCATTTGTCCTTGTCTTTCCAGCATTTTGTGTTTTATTTTCTCAATTTCACACTGTTATGTTTTCCCTGTTTTAACATTACACCTATAACTGTGCCTGCACAGACCTAAATGTCCACAGATATGTCAGTTACGGTTGCTAGTTCTTCAAATGCTAATGGACAAATACAGTGTCCCAACTGCACCTTTCTGTAATTCTCTCTTGTATTTAGCCAGGCTGCAGGGAAATTCACACCTGAAAGTCACTGCCAGGAATTTCTCAGCCATGGATATAAGCTCTTTTAAAATGTGAGGTTTCAGACACACAGGACTTACCATTATCTCAACAAAGTCCCTGTTCCTGGAGTTTCCAGGTTCCAACTTCCAGTTTAGATGTGGATGATGAAGCGGTTCACCAAATCACCTGTCCAATCCTAATGACAATGCTGCATAATGAAGGCAGTTGTTAAGGCGCATGAAAAAGCTTCACACATCAGTTCTTCCAGAGCCATCTGTTCGCTAAAGATTGAGGAGCTGGAAAGTAATCAGGGCCAAGCTGTTTGTGCCATGATAATAGCTGTCTGAGGATCAGGAGGAGGAGAGGACTGGATCAGTGATCTGAGAAGAGAGTCCTGGAGAGCTGTGTTGGATGCCTCTGCTGTCACCAAGAGGGTTGGGAGGCATGGAGAAGGCAACTGCTCCTGCTGAGAGAAGCAGGTCTCCTCTCTCCATCTCGCGGAATCAGCAGCTCTGTCACTGACCTAAACCTTTCCCCCAGAAGCAGCAGCCTGCCAGACCTTCCAGGGCTCTGACATCAAAAGAGTTGTCAAAGGGCCACGTCTGCTGTGCTAGCCCCTCACCAGCCCTGGCAACCTCCTGCTTTGCCTGTTCCTACAGTTTGTCTTTGTCTTGATCTTGTGACTTTGTTCTGTGGACATATCTGGAAGGTGTTTGCAGGTGAGCGGAATGAGTGCATTAAATAATGCACTAAATAATTTTAGTGGAAATCGACTTCTTTTCCATATGAGTTGATTTACATCCGAAGAACAGGGCAAACGAGTTAAGTGTGAGGATCTTTTTGTGTCACCTGTTGGAGTAATTTTGCTTCTCAATGACCCATCAGAAAATAATTGAAAGAGGAATCTTCCCCACTTGCTAAGTGTGTAAGGAGCCACAATGAGCATTGAGTTTATCCAGTTGTAAATGCAGAGTAACTCCGTTTCCTCTAGACTTCTCACTGGTTCACCAAGAATGGAGTTTGACCCTGAGTAGTCAGATTCCAAGAGAAGTTTAACCAAGTGTTAAAGTAGGAAACGTGTAGATGCTCCTAGCTGGTTGCATTTCTTGCTACAACCTTTTCTCTTCTGCATGTTTCTCACGAACATCAGGGAAGTGCCCTCTGCCCTCACCTACTGGTTTGGTTTCCTCACCAATCAGCACCATTGCCTGAAATATGCAGACCCCAGTTTTCCATGATAATATTATGTTCTTCCAGCAGCAGTGTGCGGTCAGGATGTTCCCTGCTTTATTTTACTTTAAGATTTGTGTATTTAAAAAGATGAAGCAACTTCTGAGCCCTGCGTGACCTGTTTTGAACAGCTGCACAACAGCATTGCTTTAAACAGTCAGCTGAGAATTACTCTGCTTGAGAAGTAAGGGTATTATTAAACGGTCTCTTTGCTGTCTTGTAATGGCTTTGGTGGATCAATACTCTAGAACTTTATTCTCAGGGAACTGGAGAATGACTCAGGAAAAGTGAAGAGACAAACCTCTGGAGGTCACCCATGCCTCAGGTTGCAATGAGCTTCAGCAGTAGCAGAAGCAAGTGCCTTAATAAGATTTAATAAGGCAGGTGTACACCATACAGCATATCATAGTAGAGATAAGCCAGAGGTATCATCAGGCAAACTTATGTCTTCATAGCAGCCCACTGAAGCATTCAGTGGAGGTTTGAGCTCAGGATGCAGAAATCATATAACTGCAGCCAACATTGTTTGCAGATGGCTCATTCTTAGCTTTGTGCTTATGGTGTCCCAGGTGCCCCATCGAGTATGAGCTCTGCTCATATATGGTAGAGGTAACACATAAGTAGTTATCACACAATATATACTTCTTCCATCATCAGGCTATGCATGTCAGCATTTGGTTTCAGATTAACAATTTGCTTGTTCCCTGATCTGGCAATACCAAGCTCTGTTCATGGTTTCTTTTTCCCCTTAACAACAGTCAGGGTATGCAGGATGCTCCAGTAGTGAGAGAAGAAAGCAGGAGAATCCATGAAGGAGCACATGATGAAGTTTGAGTGTCATCTCTCAAGTTTCACATGAAATTGGATATTTCATTATGATTTCAGATGAAAATCTGAAATTGCTAAGGACTGTGTGATTCTTAGCCAAAGCTGATAGAAATTGCAGCAGCCTTATATGATCAAGAGGGTTAAGTTTATTTGAAACATTGTGAAAGTAAGAGCAGCAGAATGTATATATAATTCCAATAGAATTGGTTTTGATGTTATGACCTTGTATGAATGTTTCAGTCCTGAAGCCAAATTCAGTTGAACGAGTTACCAGTACTGAAAAGCAGGCTCTTGGATGGATCTGCTGGCAGACATTTAAATACGACCTTGTGGACTATATTTAGTGTAGTTTTAGTTTCAATTTTTGGACTTTAAAGTTGTGCTTCTTGGAGTAATTCTCATCTGCTTTCAGATAATTCTTACAGCCCTTTGTCGTCTGGCATTTCGTCTTGTTAGGGACCACAATCGCCAACCCAAACTCCTCTAAAGAGTTCTTAATGATAAGTCTGCTAAAGTCACAGAGCCTTACATCAAAAGTAACTGGTTTTTACAGAGAGAGGCCATAAGCACTGTGGTAAGCTCTAGACTGTAGTTCTGCCTTCAGCCTGTCCTGTGTTCTGCTGCAATCCAGGACCATAAAGTCCGATTCTGTAAGATGGTTGAGGACCTGCAGCTTGGGCGAGACCGGTCAAACACACTGATATATGAGAGCAGCTCTTTTAAGCTATTTTGTGCATACATAGTTATGGGTAAATAGTTATTATGGGAGTTCTGTATAGCAACACTTCATTAAAAACTTCCTACAACATACAGGAAGGGATATTATGGTTGAAAGAGAAGGCCATAAAGATCTTTAACGCACGCTTCAAGTGGAAATACAAACCCAGAAGGCCTCTATTCCTAACTCAGTCATCGTGCAGGATTGACACAATTTTGTGTACTTCAATTTACCCATCATTAAAAGTTTGTTGCTTATGATTTAAGATCTTTGAAGAGAACTCAGTTTGTGATGGGAAGAATGGGACGTGTAATTCAGAGTTCCTGTCTCAGTGCACTCAGCACATTGCTGTTGCCGGCGCAATGTTATGAACCTTTTCAGAGGAGTTACTCTGTATTTGCACGCATACAGATGTCATCAAAGGTTTGTACAGAGTTACTAGCTCTGTCACGTTGCATTGCAGTTTAATGTGTTGTGAGGCATGATGTGCAGTGTAAGACAGCAACCCATCCACGGCTGGAAGCTGCTGTTTCTTTTCCTGGCTGGAGCTGTAAAACACAGGCAGCAGTTCATCTGCTTTGAAGGAGGTTTTACATTAAATGACAGACACCTTTTCTGAGCAGTGTTTTCGACTGCAGCAACCCATATCAAGGCTTTATTGTTTCCTCACCAGGAAAAGGAATGGAAATGCTGCTGTGAATGGAAATGTTGGTTTGGTTTGTTTTTTTCTCCTGGGCTGTGTAATGTTTGCAGAAAGAAATGGAATCAAGGCTGTTATCAGGCCAGAGAAGTGTTTCTGGAAATACACAGCTTCATGTATGTGCTACAAGCACTTGGTGTAATGTTATTTATAAGAAAAGGGCACTCAATGGCCAGTATGTTGTTTCCCTTTTCCCTGACCTGGCCAGAGTACCAAGCCCATTGCAGTGTAGGAAGCCCCTTCTACTCCCATCACAATTCCATGCCATTTTTACTTGTGGTGGTGGTGTCAGCCATGACTTTCTTTCCACGACAGAGGTTCTATCAGAGGTATTAATCTAAATTTATTCTTGCCATTTCTGAAATAACAGAGTTTGTGCTGAATTTATTTCCACCCTTTGTGGGCCATTTGAAGAGAAATAAAACATCAGTTATTTATAGGCAAACCTCTGTATAACCACAGACATACATAAATATCTCCATATATTTCCATGGAAGGGGAATCTGCCTGCACAGGTCACCTGCTGAATCAGAATTTTAAGAAGAAACTGGGTTTCTCATTAGATGCTGGAAAACCAGAACTATGAATCACTGGTTATGCCAGTCAAATGAAAGCAACTAATAGAAAGTATAATTAAGCTCCAGAAAGTGAGTAAGATTTATTTAGAACATGTCTGTGTGGTGATTGCAAGCCTACACTTTGCAGAGGGCAGTGTTTGCTGGCTGTACCAGCATCCACTTAGTCTGTATGGCTCTTATATGTGTCTTTCTTCTCTAAGGTTTATGTGGTTATAAGTAAATGTCCTCCAAAAGTAGTGATTAATTTGAAAAGTAAAGCTTCAAGAACACAGCCCTGCATTTTTAAAGACCTTGTGTTTGTCTTGAAAGAGTACAAAATACTGACAGCATCTTATATCTATATTAGAACCTTTCCTTGTGTCAGGTAATGTTTGCTTGTAAGTAAAAAGTAGCGCAGATGCTCCTCACTCTTCACCTTTACTCTGGGGAATTTTCTCTGCTCCTGCAATAACCTGCACAGAGTTTGGCTTCACCATGGCAGGTGCTGAAATACTGCAAATAAAGTTGTCTTTACACGTAACTAAGTGGAGGATTTGCCCTTAGAGTGGTTATAAGAAGCAGTAAACTGCCGATATGCTTAGGTTAAAGGGTATTTGAAGACAGGCTGAAAGAGCTGGGCTGGGTCAGCCTGGAGAAGAGAAGGCTTCTGAAGGGGACACCTTAGGGCAGCTCCAGTGCCTAAAGGGGCTCCAGGAAACCTGGAGAGGGGCTTTGGACAAGGGCCTGTAGGGACAGGACAAGGGGAATGGCTTGAACCTGCCAGAGGGGAGATTGAGATGGGCTCTGAGGCAGAAGCTCTTCCCTGTGGGGGTGCTGAGGCGCTGGCACAGGGTGCCCAGAGAAGCTGTGGCTGCCCCATCCCTGGCAGTGTTCAAGGCCAGTTTGGACACAGGGGCTTGGAGCAGCCTGCTCTAGTGGAAGGTGTCCTTGCCCGTGGCAGGGGGTTGGAACTGGATGAGCTTTAAGCTCCCTTCCAACCCAAATCAGTCTGGGATTCTACAGTTCTGTTTCTCAGCTCTGCTGAGTCTGCACAAAGGGAGCCTGGGGTGAGCTGCAGTTTCAAGCAGGACCATCAAAGCATGGACAGGAGATACCCACGTGTCAGGCTGCCTTGCTTTAACTCTCCTGCCTCTCGCCCTCTGTCTAAAAACCTCCAGTGACCAGCATTGCTCACCCTGCCTGCATGGTCAGCTGGAGATGGGCAGCCTCCAGTGCATGGAGTTTTCCCAGAGTCTAAAACAAATTGCCTATCCATAGCTTAGCCCTATTGTTTTTTTTTCCCAGCCCCTGTAGACAGGCAGAACAACTTCCCCATGTGGAGTGTTTTCATATGTTTGAAGACCTATCAGCTCTATTTGATTTTCTTTTCTCTGCCTTAAAGATCCATATTTCCTTTGGCCTTTGCTTGTAGGTCATGGTTTCTAGATTTACCTTTCTTGTTCATGTCCCCTTGGCACACATCTTATTTGATGTGCAGTATTGCAGCAGAGGCCTTAGGGATTCTCAGCCAGAGAAGGAGGATTACGTGTGGCTTGCAGACCATAGTGCCATGTATAATCCCTCCCTTATTTTCACACCATCATGAAACTGTTGTTTCAAATGGAATCTGTGATCTACTACAGGTTTAGAGGACAGAGAACTGCTATTTAACCAGTGCTGGGTGTTTGCACAACTGGTCGCTGCCTGCCTGAAATTTGTGCAGATTTCACCATAAATAATATGTGTACTCCTAGCAGGCTGCTGCACACATATCTAAAAGGAGTTGTGTTTTGTAGCTTTCTTAAATTGCTTACAGAAAATGAGGGCAATATGCAATTCTTCTCTGTAGGAGGAAATTTCATGTTTAACTTAGGTGATCTATACCTAATGTCTCAATTACCTGTGCATGCAAATCCACATTATAGTGTATATAATCCAGCCCTGTGAGACATCTAAAATTAAATCTGTCAACGTACATGTAGAGGAGCTCTTTAGGAGTGACTGATACAGATTTAACATGCATGTGAAACTGATATAAAAAGAGTTTGAAGCTGCTTTAAGAAAGTAATCCCTAACATTTATCCAAATCTCTGCAAAACGGGGACCTGATCCTACAGTAGAAGTATCAAAAATAGCTCAATCAAATCTCCATGTTTATTTAGTTTTTCCAAATTCACACTCAGTTGAGGTTCAGCGCCAGTAGCTTTTATCTGTGCTTTACTTGGGTCAGCTTCAACTGCCTGATGATACAGCCGGCTTCATAGTTTTATTCTGCTTTGAGCATCTTTCTGTCTCATCTGTCCTGTGTGTGCATAGTGCTTTCAATTACAAACCCTGTGGAACTAAAAGGGCAACCCAGTAAACCCCATCCCTGGACTCCTGTTTTCTTCTTGGCACATTTTCCTTACACTTAAATGTAAACCACCCATTAATAACACCTTATTCACAGTTTGCCATTTCACCCTGTGTTGATTGTATCAGACTCTTCTTCCAAATATCTGCCTGGTCCTTTATTTCTTTCCCTTTTCAGCTGAATAATGCATGACATGGGAAGCCTCTCTGTGCCTGGTGTCACAGTGTGCTGGGTGCATGCTGGAGGCAGCCTGCAGCCCACCCGTGATTGACACCCACGCACTGATTGACACCCATGCACTAATTGACACCCATGCATTGATTGCAGTTCCTTCTGGGTGCTACGGTTGTGTTTGAGGGAGGCTGGTCAGTCAAGAGAGCAGGAGCTGTGGCACGAATGCAGCTTGTCAGTGATTCACAAAGATCGCTTGAAGTGCCCTATTTTGGGAAACAGAATTTCTAGATAAATTCTTTTCCGATTCAAAGGCGCTTTGACATGCTGGGAAATAAACCTCTACCTAGCTGTGGGTTTAAGTCACATCCCTAACATTCTAGAAAGTGCTAGTGATTTGATTTTATAATCCTTTCTATGAATTATAATGATGGTAAGGCCCAAATAGGCTTAGTCCTGTGCTGCCACTCCATCCAGACACGTAACGGAGGCAGAAAAGGCACATTTAGAAACCGAGAGCCCCTTGATGTGTCTGGCAAGCTTAGCGCTGAAATCCTCAAAAGAGATCTGTCTGCCTCTTCCCTCTAAATTTAGATGAAGAGTTTTTAAATTCCTGGAATAGAGAGGAAGAAAGGTGGAAACTGATAATGTGCTGCTGGAAGAGCACGGCAGCGTGTTCAGATGCAGCAGGATTTTCTGTGCGGCTTCTCTCTGAGCGCGGGTGAGCGGGAGCTGGTCCCCCCTGCGCAGAGGCGGCCGGTTTGCGTGTGCGAGTTAGCGTGAGAACTTGAAACTCATGTCACCTTTTCTTTTTAGGCATTCAAGCCAATGTTTTAGGGGCCTCTCTGTCTTCTACAGGACCAGGTAGAACTGCTTTGCATAGGGCTTTTGTAAGCAGGCCTGTGGGGACTAATGGGCTTGGGTTTGGGGTTATTTTGTCCTGCCTAGCACATGCAGAAATGTTACTGTTCGTTCACTGAAAGAGAAAAAGAGTTTGCCAATTCCAGCTTTTTGTAGCTTGTTGGCATTTCTGAAAAGATACCAGGCAATGGGACTTAGAGATAATTATTGCCACAAACAATTTAATCTGGATTTAATAAGGAATTCACCCTTTTTGACTCACCATTTTTAACCAGCAGTCATGGCTGTCTCTAATGGCTCACCCCAGCAGTCCAGAGTGCTTGTTATTAAGGACTTGTGCATTTTGGATTAGTGTTTCCCACTGAGAGATTTTAATTCCTGTTGCCAAAGAAGTCACATAAACATGTATGACTGGCAAATCTAAAGGATTAAAATAACCACCCAGCAGGGTTAATACACTTCAAGACTATTGTTTTTACCACAGCACAAAAAAAAAAAAAGGGGCTCCCATGTCTGCAGCTCATAGTTAATAAATCTGGCTGTGCTAAAATATTGCTGAACACTGGAAGCAAAGCTTTTAACATCATTAAACGCCAGCTTTTTGCTTCATCACTCAAGGACGGTCCCCCTGTTTGCATCTTCATCTGCAGAAGTGGATACACCGTGGAGATTTAGTGAGATCTAAATATGCACTCTGTAATTATGTGCCCAATTTGAGCAGCTACAGGTTCGAGCTGGAACCACTTAACTGTAAAAGGCTGAACCTCAACTGGTTGAGCAGATGAAGCAGATGTATTTGTTCAAAATCTTGCAGCAAACATTGGACATTTCTCCATAGAGCTCACTTGCTCTGGATTATCAGCTTGCTTTAAAAGAGGGATTTCCCACAGGCATAGGCAAAGGTTTTAGTTCTCTTTGACCCTTCTCTGCAAATGAGTGTAACTGGCCTCAAGAAGGGCTGGAGTGCAACTGTGTGCTTGAACTTGCTTGGAAATGTCACTGACATGTTCTTTGAGTAAAGCAAGCCTGGTGGAATATGTTGCAAGGAATATCTTTATAAGAATCTACTGCAGTTTAAATGATGGGTAGTACTTTCCATAAGTATGTAAATTTAGTGAAGAAAAGCCTCTTTGCAAAATTATTTTGTTGTCAGGGTTTTTTTTTTCTTTGAGTTGGAGGAAAAAAAAAAAGAAAACTAAAGCTCCTTCTTACAGTAATCTCTTTTTCTCCCTTTTATTTTGCTTTATTTTCTTATCTACGGAAGTCGTGTAAGCAAAGTGCTTTGCTGGTGCTGGGGATTTGTGTGATGTTTCCTCAAGGTGCGGATTGCAAAATGTCACACATTCATTTTTAAACAGTTCTGCTCTCTGATATGAATGAAGCACGGGGCAGTCAAATGTCAGTGGAAGCTCAGCAGCTCATTCTTCCTGCTTCTCTCCATTTTCCTATTATTAGCTGTGTTTGCAAAAGAGGAGCCTCTGATGCTCCTGGTTTTGGTAGTGTTTTCAGAGCAGGCAGTGCTGCTGCTTTTGCCAATGGTTTTATGACTCCTCAAAATAAGACAAGACCCATTTTTCCCAGAACAGAGGCATATTTGGACATCTCTAAAATAACTTCAACCATTCCTTTTGCCCCACGTTTCACTGACTGTCGATCCTCGGTGCAGTTTGGGTCCCTGTCAGAATTCCATAGAGGCTGCTGTCCTCACTGGAGCTCCTCCTCCAGCTCCCAGTTTGCACAGGCTCAGGTCGCACTTTCCACTGCAGCACACAAAGGAGATCCCAGGTCCAGGTGCCCCCATGGGATGAATGCAAATGTCCCATTTACCTCCTAGTGAGCAGTTCTGATCCTCTGCCCTCTGCTCCTCCTGGAGTGGCTGACACCCATCCTGGGGCTTTACCTCTGCCACCCTCTTCAAGGGTGACTTTAGCACTCCTACTGCTGGGGTGATGTAGGTTTGTGCAAGATAAGCCACTGGGAGGGACAGCTAAGCTCAAAGGCTGGTATCACTCTATTTACTGTGCTCCACAACACTTACCTGAGAAAGTTGTGGGTTTTCCTCTTGTGCGGTTTGTCACATGCCCTGCATGTCTGACCAAGTGGGATAATCATGGTTTTCAGAAGTATTTTGTCATTGCTTTGTTTTTAATGAGGGAAAACTGACCTTGATTTCTCCCCTCTTCAAAATACCCTAAAGGAAGCTAGCCAAGAAGCAGAAGGAGACTCAGACCAGCACACAGAGGGAGATGGGTCCCATGGCTACTTCCGACAAGACCTCTACCAAACTCAGTGCTGTTCACAATGAAGAAGCTTTTTCTTCCAGCTGCCAAGATGTTAATGGATTCAGTAAGTTTAACTTGCTTGCAATGGATATGTCCCCCTTGGAGAGCTCTAGGTTCTTAAAAGGACCTATTCCTATGGGCACGATATTGAGGAGCTAGGAATGACAGTGACAGAGATTGTTGCAAACGCTTGATAGAAATCAGTTGTCTGAAATGTCTCTGACACTGCCCCTATTTTAACTGTCAGATAGAGCATTCCTCCTGACTAAGAATAATTCATAAAGTCTGTTCTAATAACTACATCAGACAGACAAAAAGGCACATGTTTATTTGCTCTTCAGAAATATGTTTTCCTTTGTGAGTAGAAGAATCTAATCAAATCACTAGTCTGACTTGTAGGATGAAATAACATCTTCTGGATGAAATTGTTATGACAGAAAGCATGGTCTCCTGGTTAGAGATCTGGAATGGAAAGAGCATTTCTTCTTTTGTCCTTCATTCATTCTTCACATGGGTTCAGTAAAACTGATCTTAGTTAATACTTGTAAACCAAGTAGCTGGAAGAGTTTTGTGGGTAAACCAACATGAAGTCATACTTTAGCCTCACTAGATGCAGATTGAGTGCATGGTGGATTGCATGGTGGCTGTGTAACCTTTGTCTTATGAAATAAATTTCAACTTAGACACTGTGGGAATGTCACTCCTTCTTTTGACGCTTGGCCTCCTATAGTCTGAGCAGGGAACAGCTCTGAAACACAACTATGTACTAAACCCCTTTTGTCTTTCTTGAACATCTTTAGTAAAGAGTTTCTCCCCCTAATTACTAACATGGAAGTGGTACAAACGTGGTTTATCATTGAATCCTTTCTTTGACATCTCAGAGTGAGTGGGACAGGCTGAGTGAATTCTTTTCCCTGTAGGCCATGCCAGATTCCATCTGCATGTGTTGCTGCTGACCCTCTGTGTAACGTACCTGTGAGATGGATAGATAGGTGTTGGGGGCTGTCAGGACTAGCAGTGAACACTTGTCTCTGATACTAAATTGACTTGAGTCAAGATCTAATTTTCTCAGGTGCTGAGTAGCTGCATCTCCTAAAGAGACAGCAAGAGTTGTCAGTGGTTCATCTCTTTGAAGGACAGGATAGCAGAGGACAGCACTCTAACAGCCTAGAAACAGCAAAGGTACCTCGTCTGTGGTGTATGGGGAAAAGGAAGTTTTTAACACTTTCTGCAAGATCTGGATTTTTACAAGTTTGGGGAGTTTTTTCAACTAGAAAATAAGAGAAGAGATGAGCTGGAAATGTGACCTCTTTTTTTTCCCCACCCCCTTGGTATTTTGGGAGCCTAATTAAACCAGCTGAATCATTACTTGAAATGGCAAAGATGGAAAATATGTTGTATCTAATTCTGTGAAAAAGCATCCCTCCAGGTTTTCTTTTTTTAAATCAGTTAGCCCTTTGCTTGTCTGACATCACTGCAGGTTTTATCACCACCTCCCTCTGTAGCACAGCCTGAGTCAAGTCACGAGCCCACTCTTTTCTTATTTTCCTTATTATATCCATAAGGAACAATTACCATTAAGCCTTCCTGATTTCTTCAGCTATTTCACTGCCAGGTCCAGGGTGCCGCAGTGTTGGAGGTAAGTTCTCGTCTCTGCAGTAGTGTGCACGTGCTCATACAGGAATCTTACGGGTAAAAGACTTCTTTAAAAAATTGCCTTAATAGAGTTTAATACTTGAGGGTTTCTATGGAGGCCTTCTCCAAGTTTTGAATAACAGAATAGGATTACTGCTTAACCTGCCTGCTAACTAAGACAGTTTTACAGGGGTTATCCATCCTGGCATTTGAAATCAGCTGTCTAAGCAGTTCTTTTGCCTCCCAACAGTAAATAGCCTTTGCAGATACCTCATGATGGGTAGTCATCCATTCAATAGAATCAGAGAATCATAGAATGGTTTGAACTGGGAAGGACCTTGAGATCATCCAGTTCCAACCCCCTGCCACAGGCAGGGATGCCTCACACTAGACCCAAGGCTCTGTCCAACCTGGCCTTGAACACTGCCAGGGATGGGGCAGCCACAGCTTCTCTGGGCACCCTGTGCCAGCGCCTCAGCACCCTCACAGGGAAGAACTTCTTCCTTAGATCTAACCTGAACTTCCCCTGTTTCAGTTTAAACCCATCACCCCTTGTGCTATTGCTGCAGTCCCTGATGAAGAGTATCTTGACCCTCAGTTATGAGAGCCCTAGTTGGCTGCAGGAGTGTGACATGGAAATACCCCTCTCCTCTTTGAGGAAAGCCCACAAAAAGAACCTGAGTGCTTTCAATCCCAAGGTCACCTTGTCAGCTCACAACAGCAGTAAAATAGAACAAGAATAACCTCGCAATTACTGAATGACTTGCAAAGAAAGTTGTCTCCAGGTGACAGTGTCCTTGCAGGGCATGTATCCTTCCCTCCAGCTTTTCCTTCCTGACCCAATAATTTTCAAGACTTTTCAGACAGGAAAAATTCAGTGGCTTCTTATAGAAGCCTTTTTCTTCCCAGAGTCTGTCTGTCCAGCTTGGCCACTGGTCACCTCCTGCTGCCACTATTGCTGTTCCTGGGTGACCCCTCTCTGCCCAGCTGCAGCCACCCTGTTTGCTGCCTATCTCTGTCACCCCATAGGGAGCTTCCATCTGATGGTCTGTCTCAGTGCCTTAAGGGAAAATATGTATATTTTAAATACAAACTCATGCAAATGACATCTGGAAGATGTATAGGCTCTGTGCTGAACGGGGAAATCTCGGATCTTGCTGAAAAGTGGGAGAGAACTGGGCATTTTTCTTTCCTGGCTCAAAGCAAAGCCCCTCATCCCTCTTTCCATTCCACACTGTTAGACATTATTCAGGCAGAATTCTTACTGGTACATACAGGAGTTTAAACTGAAGAGATTTTTGGACTCAGCCGCTGTCTCTGACACCATATGGAATCAGGAAAAGGTGTTTGCTGAGAGATAGACTAGTTAGTGGCAATTTCAGCTTGTCTGGTTTTACCCCAGGGATTATGTGAAGGTGAAGCAGCTCATCACAGTTGTTCATTTTCTGAAAGATCTTGCTTTTTTAAAAACAAAAAAAATCTATCCTAAATCCATTGAAGGTAAATGATGGGACTTGCAGTGTTGGAGAATGCTCCTGGATACAGCAAAGTTTGGAAAGTAGCATCGTGTTCCTCCAGATACTGCACAGTTGCGTGGAGGCATTGCCTTAGTGCAGGGTTATTATGCAACAAGATGACAAATTGGAGACAAGGTGAGCCTAAAGTTATCCACCACTATCTGTGCACAGACCAGAAGAGTGTGCGATGGGATGTTATTGCACATAAATTGTGTGCAGTTTGTCACCCCATCTGTATGATGTGTATCATCTCAGCAGAGATGCACAAAGGAGCTGCTTGTCTGGCTTTGAACTGCTGAAATGCTGTGGATTGGGCTTGTCCAGGAGAATTCCAGGTCACCAGCATAGTCATCCTGACATGCTGGGGGAGTTCTGGGAGGAACTATTTGATTCTAAGGATCTGGAGAGAGATTTTGGACAAGAGCCTGTAGGGACAGGACAAGGGGGAATGGCTTTAACCTGCCAGAGGGGAGATTGGGATGAGCTCTTAGGCAGTGTTCAAGGCCAGGTTGGACACAGAGGCTTGGAGCAATTGCTCTAGTGGAAGGTGTCCCTGCCTGTGGCAGGGGGTTGGAAATGGATGAGCTTTAAGGTCCCTTCCAACACAAACCAATCTTGGATTTTGTAATTTAATATCTTAAAATGCAGCCAGTTTTGCTAGAGACTAATGTATCAGGGTGTGCTTAACTTCTGTGACATCTCAGTTTGGGAGAAGATGGCTTTCCAGACAATCTTCTGGAGTGACACTGGTGCAGGTTAGCTAGGTGGCTTCAATGTGACAGACAGAAGCATGGTCTGAAAGAAGCATTTTGGAAGCAGTAGGGGGCTGAGTTTTGCATTAGTGGTGCTACTGTACAGTGACCAAGTCAGTGTGCTTTTACTAGCAAGAACAAATAGTTGAGGAAGATGTCGTGAGTGGCATTCAGGGTATTAAGGTTCATATCTAACCAAGAAACATGTAAAATCCCACCTTTACATATTCTGCATGTTTTTGTGATGAATGAAGTGCAAAGGTTGTTTTGTGGGGTTTGCTAGTTCAGAAAGATCTTATCAAAAGCAAAGGAGAATCATTTCCAGAATAGGAAGGAGCCCCCACCAGTCTGCACAGACTGGCCAGAGGGGTCTGTGTGGCCTCACCTGCCACTGCAGGGAATACAGAGAGAATTTTTAATGAGATCTTAATCTCTACCCTTACATGAAGCTCTCTCTGGAGCTGTTTCTTGTCATTGCACACACTGGTGCTTGTAAGAACCCCTGTTTAGGAAGCAGCACTGTGCACACATATCGTACAAGCCACTAGCTGGTGAGATCTGGGGAATAAACTCTCCAAAGTTGTGGGAAACATGTTTTTTTGGGATTTTTTTTCCTTTTCCTGAATCTAGACATCCTCTCCGTCTCACAAATATGGTTCAATTCATAGACCTCAGTTAGTAACAGTTTTAATCAGACTCGCTGCATTGCAGTGTTTATCTTCAGTAATTTATCATTAGCAGTTGCTGGCAAGAAAGGATGGCCCAATGAGTTCTTTTATTCTCTCAAATATCTGAATCCTGCTCCAAACCCTGCTGACTTTCTGTGACCCTGGGCAAACAAATTACTTTCTTTAGACCTTATTTTATAGATCTGCAAAAGTGGCCAGGTTCCAAGAACAGTAAAGAGGAGGGTCTGACTTAGGCTGAAAAACACAGGGGAGAATGTATAAGAGGCCCTAAAGGAGAGATGCTTTATGGCTTGAAGGCAGTGGGGGAAAGACTAAGCTATGAGAAATTTGGTTATTGTAACATGTGTTCAAATGGTGTAAGTCTGAAAAATGGCAGGAGAATGCACAATGAGAGCCAGTTCATTTACTAGATGATTCTAAACTGCTTCGGAGGCAATTCTTCTGACTCCCAGGCTAGTGACTTCTTTGGTTCACCCTATAGAGTAACATGAATTTTTTAAATGGTATTTGCTCTAGAGATACAAAAATTGCTTCTGAAATTACTTTGATGTATACTGAGTTTTATCTACTTCTATTGGATTATGGGATAGTTTTTCCTGTTATCTATTGTCATCTTTCTGATATACTGAGATTTGTATTAGCTTGTTTCCCCACACTGGGAGGAGGAGATAAATAAATGCCTGTAACTCTGAGAGTGAATGCAGAATGATAACAAAGGAATATGCCTTCAGAAATGATGGATTGCCATAAGAATGTACATGTATGCTGTTGCAGATAGAAACCAGCCTCACAAATTTACTATCAAGAAAATAATCTACTGGGAAGATGTTGAGCCCATCCTCCTTTCCATAGAGATTTGATTAATATGGAAATATTTGGTGGATTCTTGTCCAGAGAAAGCTCATGCTTTAAATGGGAGAAAGGGGAGAACCTTGTTCTGAAAGAACCCAGCTCCCAGGGGAAAGGATCATAGGATTTGCTATGAACAGTCCTGGGTTGAAGAACAAGTCCCCTGTGATCTTGCATTGTTTTACAATGATAACAATAACAAAAGAATTGCTACCCTACCTGTGTATTTCTGTGGCACCAGTGTACATTGTGTTTGAGCAGGCTTCTTTTCCTGTTAATACTGCACTTGATTCTGTGTAGTTTGTATTTTGGGGATTGTTTTTAAGGATATTTCTCCTAGAGACAAAAACATAAATTTGTTCCTTTGGTTAAAAAACAGGGTTTCTAGAATATAGTCCTGTATGTGTACCCTGTGTGGGAACACTTTGATTTACAATAACTATAATGGTATATTTGGGGTCTGGAGTGGTTATATTAAAGAAAATCCATCATGATGACAATGTAATAAATGTAATATGCATGTCAACATGAAAAATATAATTCATTTTGATAAGCCTTATATATATATCCCATATTACTGTGTTCTTTGCGGAACATTCTCCCTGTTCTCTTTCTCTCTCTTAATATATGTCTAAAGTCTTTTCCTTATGTCTTTCCTACCTAGCATCACCCTCTCCTTGTTCATTTTCTGTCCAAAGCAAAACCCTTCAGAGCAAATCTTTGTTGAATTCCTACTACTCAGGTACTAGTGCCAGACTTTTCTTTCATTTCTAAATGTTCTTGGCTTTTGTACGTTCCAAATATGAGCTATAGACCGACTCTTCTGCGTGTGAGATCCAGCTAACCTTGTTTTCATCTTTTGTGACTTTTCTTCCTGTCGATCTTCTGTTGATTTCCATTGATCTGTGTCGTGTGGGTGAACGGAATTCCATCTCCAAGTAACATCAGACACTGTTCCATCGACCACGCTGTTAGGTAAGAAGACAGGTATGGTGTCCTGCACTTCATTGGAGAGCAAACACACTTAGAGTATCTTGAAAAGAGCTTGGAGAGAGCATGGTTGAGTGGCTGGGCTCCAAAATCATAATTAATCCTATGGTCATATGTTAGTTGGAAAGCCTTTTGGCTCATGCTTTATTATTGCTATTAATTGATATTTTATCCTTTTTTAAAGGAAAGAACAGTTTAAAAAGTAAGGTTTAGGAGTTCTAACAAGTATTTGTTGTTTCTTTTTGTGAATGGGACTTGACATTCTGGACAAATCCCCGCAGGCTGCCTTGCCTTCAGCTTAGTTCTGACTTGTGTAAGTGTGCAGCTGGCATAGAATCATGGAATGGTTTGGGTTGGGAAGGACCATGGTAGATGCCCCATCCCTGGAAACATTCAAGGTGAGGTTGAATGGGGCTTTGAACAGCCTTCTGTGGTTGAAGATGTCCCTGCTCATTGCAGGAGGGGTTGGAACTAGGTGAGCTTTAAATTCCCTTCCAAGCCAAACCATTCTATGGTTCTGTCAATCAGAAAGATGATGTGTAGTTGATCAGAATCTAACCACTGGTGTTTACCAGGCCTGTCATTTTGACTTATCTACAGTAAATGTTCACTTCCAGGCACAGTAATCTACCATGGCTGCCTTAAACATTACTCTGAGCATGTTGAAGGCCCACAGTTAGGCCAGAAAGAAATTACAATCCATTGCTTAGGTGCCTTGGCTTACACACCAGCAGCACAGAGACAGAGGCTTGGAGGGACTGCCATCATACACACATTTATCCTGATGTCTATCACAATGTTAATGTCAGTGAATGAGCCTTCTTTTAAGAAGGGAGGGAAGGAAAGGAGTCGCTTTTCCAGACGGTTTATTCCCATTTCCCAGAGACTCGATGTCATCAATAGGAAAGTCTAAAGGTAGATTTATCTTTTAGCCATACTTGAGAAGCAGGGCACAGACCTGCAGTTTGCAGGGAGGTGTCAGACTTCTCTCAGTCTGGTACTGGCATCTGTGACAACCGGATCCTCCTCTGAGAGAGCTGTTTTCCCCCCTCTGTCCTGGTAGTGAGAATGACGGTGTGAACTGCACACTAAGTAATCTGAATCTCAAGGAGCAACAGACAGATTCAGTCTGTACTTCTCATGGGAAAGCGAAAGCCAAAAAAAGTCCCCAAAACTTTCAAGATCCCAGATTTTAGAGAGGAAAAAGAGGAAATAGGAATTAAACTTGTACTGATGTATTCACAGCTCTTTCAAACTTCACTTCTACTAACCACTATATCTGAGTAAGGATTAATATCCCTGTTTTACACATGGGAAGTTAAGTACAAGGCACTTTTAAGACATGATTTACACAGACTGGTCACCCTGCCCAGTTCCATCTGAATTTAGCAGCCACAGGTGCTATGAAACAGCCCTTGGCACTGGAGAAATTTCTGTCTTGTAACTTGAAGACAAATTTAAACCTTGGTGTTCTGGCTTCTTGGATAGATTCACCAGACGTTGCTGTATGAGCAACATAAGTTTAATTTTTGACATTTATTAATATTCAATCCTGGGAAAGAAAAAGAGATCCTAAAAGGGGCATCAGTCATCCCACCACCAATATCCATCTTTGGGCACTATCTGCAGTTCGTTGCTATTTGTTCCCATCTGTTATGCCTTCTGCTAATAAATGTTCTGTATCTGCAGTAATGGATGAGTCCCTAGGCTTGGCTGTTACATGATTTGTTGATAGGAAGATAGAGGGGATTTTGGTTTTGCCTCTACTCTATTCCATGCTTGATGAATACTTTTTTATGTAATGCATGTTTTTAGCTCTGTAATTTTCTCCTCCAGCTGTAGACAGTTCTGGATTTAAATGTTTTGCACAAGCATCTTCATTAGAGAAGTGAGTATTTAATACTAGGAAATAAAGGAGGTAGATTTCCCCATGTTTAAATTTCATTAAGGCCCATGTGGTACCAGCACTGTAAGGCCTGAAGCAGAGGTTGCTTTTGGAGGAACTGTGCATGGCCAGTAGCTCTTGAAGATGTTCAGCAGATGCCATCAAGGCATTCAGCTCAGGGGAACCAGCATGTCCTTCCCTTGTATCCATTGACATCTCCCAGCAGGATTTCAACTGCTCAGGTGGTTCCTAATACCAGGAGTTGCTGCCCTCCAGAGAGGATGAGGATTGTAGTGCCTTGTAGTTTCCTGCAGATGTGCAGAGAAAGCAGAAAAAGCTCACTTTTGTAATGCCTCACACAGAAACTGGCTTCTGCTTAGAAAATCAGGACTTTGCCCTGCATTTCACTCTTCCTCAGCTTGGATGGGCTTTTGCCTGTGCCTAACCAATCTGCTGCGGGTATCCCCACAACCTGATGTTTGAATAATTAAGTAGATGTTAAGAAGGTGATACTGCTGCTTTAGCAATTGTCATCATTAGCAGCTTTTTTAATTGTGAGATGAGGGGGGTTTATGTGATGGAAGCTCCCTATCAATGGCTTGTTCTATTGAGTTACATCTGTAGCTTTCCAGGCCATGTTAGCTTCTAAGGAGTTGTGGGAAAGGCTTTCACAACAGCTTGCTGATGTTATAGAATCATAGAACCCCAGACTGTTTTGGGTTGGAAGGGACCTTAAAGCTCCTCCAGTCCCAACCCCCTGCCACGGGCAGGGACACCTTCCACTAGAGCAGGTTGCTCCGAGCCCCTGTGTCCAATGTGGCCTTGAACACTGCCAGGGACGGGGCAGCCACAGCTTCTCTGGGCACCCTGTGCCAGCGCCTCAGCACTCTCACAGGGAAGAGCTTTTGCCTCAGAGCTCATCTCAATCTCCCCTCTTGTAGGTTCAAGCCATCCCCCTTGTCCTGTCCCTACAGGCCCTTGTGCAAAGCCCCTCTCCAAGTTTCTTGTTCCAGTTTTCATGTTGGCCTGCAGCAGCATGAGCAAGAGAGACACATGCCCTCATAGGCTGGTTTTGAGCTCAATTCCTCTGACATTTCTTTCTGCCTGCAGATGATCAGGTGGCTTGGAAAAATCTCTCTTCCAGTCTTTATGGCTTCCAGTTCTGTGAGCTGTATTGGTTGCCATCAATAGTTTTTCAGCTGTCACTAATGAATTGCTGTCAGTTGTATGTCAGGTCTACTTACCTTAGAGAGCCTCTTCACCAAGGAGGCAGAGATGTGACTTGGTGACATCCACGCATCTGAACAGCTGCACTGTTACACATGTACCCTGTAGTCCCAAGTCTTAGTCCACCTCACCAAAGCATCTTCCTTACACCTTTAAAGGGATTTACTTCTATGCTAATGGATTAAATGGATGCAATATGAGTAGAACAGACTTGTGTAAGGTGTTTGCCAAGAAGGTCTTAGAATTCTTTTTAGAATCTAAACAAAATAACTTTCTCAAGTTTTTTTTTAATTATGCACATGTGGCTTCTTCATAGGCTTTGAAATGAAAGGTCCATCCTCTGCTCTCTGTCAGACTTGGTGTCAGAAGGCTATTTGTTAAGGAAAGTGCCTTTTTATAGGTCAGTTGATATCATTAGATAAATGATGCTTTCACTTTGGTTTGCCATATCTCTGTTTGTATTGTAAATAGTGTAGTATAGCTGAATATTCATCATATAATAAAGCCTTGATGCACATGAAAAAGCAAATTAATTTTGCCAGCTTGCACCATATCCTTAGTATGAGGAAAACTGATATTAGCCATGCTGGAGTCATCCTTGGGAGATGTCAAATAACTGACAACTCTTACTCTAGTGTGGAGAGACTGGATATGTATATAATTAAATCCATCACAAACACCACTCAAAGTATAATTTATTGGGTGCAAAGGATGTCTTACTGTGTTACACACTTGCAAAGCTAAGAGAATAAAAATACAAAGAGGGATGATAGGCCTGTCATTACAGACACAGAAGGAATTTGTGGATATTAAAGCAAAAGTGCTAAAAGAAACTTCTCTGCACGTACAAGATGACACATCAGTGCCACGTCACTCTCAGTTGTTTAAGGCAGTTTTCTGGTCAGGAGGCACCATCATAGTGTGTTTCCAGGTATCCACCTCTCACACTAACAAAACTACCTTTGCAAAATAAGGTGACATCTATAAAAGGATCTAGAGTTTTCATTCCCAGAGGTGCTCTGGAGGAGCAGGTCCTCTGTCAGCAGCCCTGCTGGGAAGGTGCAGAGGGGTCCAACCACAGAGCCATTGCCAGGCTGGGAATCTACTTTCTCAGCTGCTCTTCATCTTATCTGTGATATCTGTGGAGAAGTTTATCAGTTTTTCAGTGGAGGGAGGTGCTTATTTGACTTGTCTGGCTAACACCAAAATGCAACGTGTTGTAGCAGCAGGCAAGCAATAGTATCTTACCCTCAAGGTTACACATCAGATGGGGAAAGATGCCACCTAGCTGGCCTCCGCTGCAGCTTTTCTCTTCACCTTGCACTCTGTTATGTTTTCTCTTGGTAGAGTAAGCCCTCAGAGATTACTTCAGCAAGCTCATGATTATTCCTCCATCAGAGAGTCCTGAGAAGCCCCATTTCATAAGCAGGGAGAGTTTGTGAATATTAAAAGTGGAGAGTCAACACTGTTAAATTTGATTATCTGCAGTCACACACTAAACAGATAAGCTGAGACGCCTGAAGAGTTTCCCAATCCTGCTAGTTATGTGAGGCAGTGAATCATTGATTTAACGTCTTGTACAAAATTTAGGGATTTTGTGAACTCTTGGGCTGATAATGAAAGTGCCAGCTTCCAGGAATCCAAATATCTGTGTTAGCAAAGGACGTCTTACTATGGGGAGTGAGACTGTTGCACTAAAAAGGGTTAACAAACAAGCTGATAACATATTTTGCTATTGCAAGCTGCTAATATTAGAAATGATCCTCTTACAAACAGCATGTTTCCAGCAACATGCAGAATACCTGTTATAGTTACAGCTGCACAAAAAGATCTGTGGAAAATTGGAAATGGTTCTAGGAAGGAACGGGAGCCCTCAGCAGCCTGCCCTAATGAGACTTCAGAAGCTCTCAATTGATTTACGTTATCAAAGAGAAACTGAAGAAGTGATTTGGTCAGTGCCTGCATGGGTCAGGATTTCATATGCTCAGAGGGCTCTTTAATCTAACAAAAGGTGTATTAAGATTCAATGCCTTCAAGCCAAAGCGAAGCAAAATCAAATTGCAATTAAGAACTGTTTAGACAGCAAGGGTAATTAACCATTGCCCCAATTTCTGAGGTCAGAATGGAATCACCATCTCTCAAAATGTTTTAATTTGGATTATTTCTTGGTACTGTGTTCCATCATTGGAATATGGTGGCAGGTGTTCTATCAAAATAGGAGGACATATGACTAGAAATAGGACGTGCATATGAAAGATGATGAAAACCCCAGGGCACAATTCTGTATGTTTAGTAGTTTCTGAGTATTAGAGTGAATTGTTTCAAGCATCTTTCAAAAAACTTTATTTTCTTGCTTTGCTCTTTTCACTGAAAACTCCCAACAGGCACACGTGCTTCAGAGGCCAGTTTGTCCTACAAACTCATCCTCATTTGCCCAGAGAGGTGGTGGATGCCCCATCCCCAGAGACATTCAAGCCAGGCTGGATGTGGTTCTGAGCAACCTGATCTAGTTGAAGATGTCCCTGCTCACTGCAGGGAGGTTGGACTAGATGAGCTTTGGAGGTCCCTTCCAAACCGAACCATTCTGTGATTCTATGATTTGCAAGGGGCATGTTTGTGAGAAGAGGACAGAGAGAGAGGTCTGTGGAAAATTGCCTGACTTGTCTTTAGTGCAGCAATTAAAGGAGAAGGTCTGACTTTGCAGAGGGATTTTTTGTTGTCTTTTCTGGTAATAAAAGCAACAAAAGGAATAAGATGTGGTTTATAGCCACAGTCTGCAGGAGAAGCACAGCCTCTTTGGAAGCCCTCCAAAGACTTTTGGTTGATTGTCTTAGAGAGAGAGTAGTTTGTTGCTACCTCCCCTCCTACCTGCATTTGGAATTGTTTACAGAACTGCTGTAAACAGCACATCTTGAGAGAAGGTGTTGTGCTTTGCTTAGGTTTGGACTCAGGGGCTGATTAGACAGAGCAGGAGCAATATGTTGCTTGGATCAGACTTTATTAGCAGAACATACAAGCATGAGGCTCACCTCATACATAGTAATTAGTCTTCGTAAAAGCCCATCCAAAGGCTGGTGGGAATACCTGGCAGCCATCCTGAGCTGGTGCAGTTCTAGGTCTTGGGTTTCCTTTCAGGTAGCACAGAGGCCATTCAAGATGCATTTGTCACGGGTGGCCAAAGGAGGTGATCTTCTCCCTAGTTCCAGTTCTGTGTGTCATAAGGTTGAGAGTAGGGTGACCCAGATTATGTGATGCTTCTTTTAAAGCAGAAATGCTTGGCTGGGTGAGAAGCACATGAACAGTGTGATGCCACAGACCATGCTGCAAGAGCTGTTACTACAGTCAATGGGGTTCGTACCACTTTTTATCTGTCTGACCAAAGAGACCAGAAGCACAATTGTCACTGTAAACTCAAAGAAGAGAGTCATTGAGCACCTTCTTCTATCTCCAGCTTTATAACATGGGCACCTGCTTGCAGGCAGTTATACTGGAAAGGAAGGGGCACCGTTTCACCTCTCCTTACGATGCTTCTCCCCGACAAGAGAGCCAAGTATGCCAGAATTAAAGGATCTGATGAAGAGAGAAATTAATAATTGCCTGCAAAGGAGCTGACTGATCTGAGCTGCGTTGTACAAGTTGCCTGTGCTCTGCATGTGCCCTCACCGTATTAGCACTAGAGCTACACATTAGTTTTAAGACTCCCTCTCGAATAGGGATGTGGTAATGTTTCTTAATTGGGGCTGATAAAAATGTGGCATTACTTGCAGGTTCTTCAGAGAAGCCAATTGTGAAATTGGGTTTGTATTAAACCTAATGATGGAAAATTAAGTGTAGTACGTCTGTCGTAAATGGTCTGCGATAAAAATCTTCTCCTCTCCATTACAGGAGGTTAATAGGGAATAGGGGTGGAAAGATGCATTGGGAAAGCGAATCCAACGAGAGGAATTAATAAGCCTTGAAATTCCCTCTGTTCAGAGTGCTCACACTGTCATTAGTCGGAGCATTAGGGATGATTATACAAATGCTTCGGATGTTACTCTTCCTTAAATCCCAAATTTATTCACATTTTGTATGTGAGGGTTGCTGCGCTAGAGCCATAGTTCTGTAAATCTCCGAGTGTCCTGGGAATGGGACTGCGTTTATGATAACCTGGGAATCAGAAATCCTTCAATTCAGAAGCCTAATCTTCAGAGCTGATGATCACTTTGTGTAATTTATTTCAGGAGAAGTGGGATGTGTTCAGCATCCTTAATAGTTCAGCCACCAGACTTATTTATCATCTCTCACTGGAGATGAACTCCTCGTGCAGCAGTGTCCACTGCTGGCATTCCATTCTCGTAGTCCTGCAACTTCACAACTTCAAAACAGATGTTGGTATCTTCCCCCTAATATAACATTAAACCAGCCCAAGCATTATTTGTCCTGTCACTGCAGAGGCCATCTGATGCCCTCATCCCTCTGCTCCTGCCCACCTCTGCAGTGAGGGACACAGCGCAGATCCCGACTGCTGCTGATCAACCTCCATGGCTATTTCCCAAGGATAGCAGGGTTTACAGTAGCATTCCAGCCATATTTCTGTCTCACCAAAATCACCCTGAAATTGAAATTTGATTTATTTATTCTTTACCCCTTCAGAAAAACGACTGTATGACTGCTGACAGGGGATAGGGTGTAGGCTCTGTCAGTAAGAAATAAGCCTTGTGTGTACAATCTTAAGGATTTTTAAGAACAATCTGAGGGAGATATATTTACTGTTTGCTCATAGGCTGGTTTGGGGTAAGACCAGAAGGAATTGCTGCAGACTGTTAAGGCCTGTGTGTGTGAGAGGACCCAAGCATCTCAGATGCCTGTAGTCATAGGAAAAAACAATGGTTTATTTGGCCAACTGTTCGAATTTGGTCATCTCTGGAAAATAAGAAACTGAATTTTTCATTTAATCTGAGTTTCTGTTAAGTATTGTGACAGTGAATTGTTTGGTTATTTAAGTTCTTCCATATTACTTCACCAGGAATATTTTGTGTGTTTAGGGTTTTGCTGGGGCTGTAAGATTACGGTTCCAGCTGCATAGCGATAGAGGGGTTTTTAATCCGTTTCTTTAAAAAAAGAAACTTTATTCTGTTCTTACGTGCCTGAAATGTCAATTTGTGCATGCAAGATAACTATATTTTTATGCTGGCTTATTATTTCTGATAATATTACAGCTTCATAATTGACATAATTTTAGGCCTGAACCAGCAGAGCAGTTTAATTCGCCTCTAACACCCTGTGTGACTTATTTGAAATGCTAATGATTTGTTTGCTATTAACATGGCCCCTTTGAGTTATCTCATACTGTAAACCCCAAATCCCACTCTGGTATCTGCTCATCTGTATGTATCTGAGTCATGTTCTTTGCAGGTTTGTGAAGACAGGTATGTAATTCAATTGGAGTTGTTATGCACAGCTCACCCTTACAAAATCTGCTATTTCAGTCTCTGTGCTGTGTCCTTATTAGCCTGACTGGCTATTTACTCTGTTCTATCTCATTGGGTTTACTTAAGTGTGGTTTAGTCTCTCCAGGAAGCTGTAGGCAAGTGTGTACTTACTTCTTTACTTTCTTTTGCCTGCACCAACCTATGGGGTGGTGGAGAAACAAATAAACTAACAGAGCAAGAATGAGAGTGGAAGTACCAGATAGGTGAAAGCTTGTTTTGCCTCCCTGTCTTAAAACAGACAGTAGCCATGGAGAGATGACCCAGCCAACCCTGACTATCCAGACCCACCCGTTCCGGAGCTGCGAGCCGGTGGAAATGTCCTACCCCCGGGGGCAGTTCCAGCCAGCCATCCGAGTGGCCGACCTGCTGCAGCACATCACCCAGATGAAGCGAGGACAGGGCTATGGATTTAAAGAGGAGTATGAGGTGAGAGGAACGTTTGCTCACATCAATGAGTAGAAGGATAGATGCTTGGGAGGGGAGGATAATTGTTTTTCAGAGCTTCTGTTCCTTAATTCCCTTACCCTCTTAATCCTTTCCTTTCTCCATTGTATTTCCATTTATGAGGGTAGGATTTTGCAGTGCTAGCACTCTTTGATGGCCCTCTAGTCTGAAGAAGAGGTGTTTACTACAGCAGTAAGATGATGACATTGTGCTCATCTGTTAGGATGTACCCTCTCTGTCATAAAGAGATGACAGTAAATGTCTAAAGGTGCTGAACTCAGTGGAGGACCTGGAGTCCCATAGTCCCTTACTCGTTAATGTGCTTTTGTTGACAACAGTGCAAGCCAGGTTTTAAGAAAAGGAAGGGCTTTTGCTTGAACTTTTGGGGATGTTCATTTGCTCTGAAACAATTGGTCAAACTAAATCACAGTGTAATGACCCAGCTGCAGAATTGTAAAGGCAAAGGCAGGAAACCTGTGTAGCTTAAATGATGGTGGAGTGTTCTAGTATGCTCAGGCGTCTGGCTCTGAATGTGTTTGACTGATGTCCTCTTCCATGTGTGGAGACAAGCAAAAAGTAAGCTGTAAAAATTAAAGCAACCATCCTCCCCTCTCATCTTCCCCCCAGTCTGGAATGACCAGGAGCATAATCCAAATGACCACCAGGAACTTGACACTGGGAGGGAGCTGGAAGAGGAATATGTATTTAGAGCACTGAGAACAGAAGAGGGAAATAACATCAAACATATGTGAAACTTTACCCTGGCAAGCGATAATTGTAATGAATGTAGTAAGCTTGTGGGAAGGCAATAAGCAATTAATATGCATAGTGGCATTAAAACTACTTAAAAATAACATAACATCTGTGAAAAATAAGGTACTTAATGAAACCAGCTCACTTTTCCACCCTGCAAGCCAGGGTCCATGGGGTTTGCATCACCGATGCTGGGGTTTGTTGTAATTGAGAGGCAGTCTTCTCCTGCTTGTCATCCAAGAGTATTTTTTTAATCAGATGGCATCAAAGACTGTCATAACAAATGTTCCTGGTATCTGTATGTGAACCAGGTCTAGTCACTCATGCCCTGTAATCGATCACACTAATCAAACTATCAATATAAAGAGCTCTGTTTAATACTGAGAAAGGGTAATAATTCTCCTAGGAGACCTCCTTAGCTCCCCCTTGGCCTCCATTTCCATGACAGTACCCAAAACTACGTTCAGCTCAATTACAGATGCCCTAAGATCTAGTTCTTGATGCTCAAGAAGAAAACAGGTGCTGGCATATATGTAATTTTCTAGCACTGGCATTGGTAATTATCAAAATAGCACATTAGCATGAAAAATGTCAATGCAACTTTCAGCTCCACAAGTTCTGCCTTTCCCAGAAAGTGCTATCTCCGTACGTATGTAATGACTGTGACATTATAGAGATTTGCATAATTCCTTTCTTTACAAGAAATAGCCTGGAGAATGCCACAAGCTCTCAAATCGCATGTGCTGCTCTACCCTCCAATTAGAGGCAACTGCCCGAAGCAGCAGCAGTCGTTTTCAGTGGTGTAATTTGGTTTTCAAAGCCTGGGATGCCGGGAACACTTCAGCTCCAAAGAGCTTCCAGCCACCACCAGCAATCCTACAGATTTGGCATGATCGCAAATTCATGGAATGGTTTGTGTCGGAAGAGACCTTAAAGCTCATCCAGTTCCAACCCCCTGCCACAGGCAGGGACACCTTCCACTAGAGCAGGTTGCTCCAAGCCCCTGTGTCCAACCTGGCCTTGAACACTGCCAGGGATGGGGCAGCCACAGCTTCTCTGGGCACCCTGTGCCAGCGCCTCAGCACCCTCACAGGGAAGAATTTCTTCATTATATCCAACCTAAGTCTCCCCTATTTAAGTTTGAACCCATCACCCCTTGTCCTATCGCCCTAGTCCCTGATGAAGGTCCCTCTCCAGCAGCCTTGTAGCCTCCTTCAGACACTGGAAGCTGCTCTGAGGTCTCCCGCAGCTTCTCTTCTCCAGGCTGAACAGCCCCAATGTTCTCAGCCTGTCTTCATACAGGAGATGCTCCAGCCCCTGATCAAACTCGTGGCCTCCTCTGGACTTGTTCCAACAGCTCCATGTCCTTCTTATGCTGGGGAGACCAGAACTATATGCAGTACTCCAGGTAGGGTCCCATGAGAGCAGAGTTGAGGGATATCAAGGAGTATTACAACTCCCAGAGGGCAGGAGGTTGAAGTTGTCTGAAATGATGTCTCAGGCTGGTATCTGGAGGAACACAAAGCTCCAAAACTGACTTGGCAAAAACACTTTGCAGAATGATTGAGAAAATCTTAGAAAAGAATCTGGTGTCTCTTTTAAAATGCCTTTTGATGCACTAATACTAGTGTCATCTCCAAATATGTTTTTCCTTCTAAGGAGCTGATTTTCTACTTACTTTGCAAATTGATGGCATAAATTACAGCCTGTTTAGTGACATGTTGGCAAATAATTTTACTCTCATGAAAAATCACTTTGAATGGAGTATATCAGTCACTATGTGACAATCTCTTATCTCTGAACATTCTCATCTCCACTAAGTAACTGGAAATTGCGTTTGGTACTTGTTTAAGTACACCTTCACCTACAGACCATTAGAGCACAGGCAGCATGTTCTACCAAGGGCATCTAGGAAAGCATTTGTGGTGCTTGCACCTTGCATAGAATCTCCCCGCTGAGATGAAAAGCAGGCTGTGATTGTGGAAGTGGTGTCACTGTACGTGTGAAATGGATGATAACTGTGTGTGTGAAGGTAGGAATCTGTCAGCACTTGCCATGTGTCTGTTAGTTTGGGTCTGCCTGCTGACCTGGGGCTGAAGTGCAATTTGGGCCTCTGTGGCTGCTGCTGTTTAGCCATAGAATGTGTATACCACAAGAGAATAATGTATCACTGGTACTGGATGTAGATAGCACTATTTGGGGTTAGGTATAATCATAAACATTTAAACAGGACACATTTAAATGTCCCATATTCCTTCTTCATAACTTATCAGCTCTGATTTGTTGTGAGCTGTGGGGCTAGTCCCATAGACTCATTTCAAGTACGAGTTACTGGCTATGGAGATAATAAGCTTAAGTGTCCAAACTCATTTTCTAGTATGATTTAGGATGTCGCTGAAGTAACTTCTCCTGCTGCATTACTGAAGTCGGTCAGTTATTTTGGATTTTGTGGCTTCTTCCTTGTGCATGTTCGTATTGAGATTCTTCAGCTTGTTGAAATCACCTCTGGATTTTAACCCTTTCATTTCTGGCTGCACAGCTTCTATCTGGTGAAAAGAATAGGTCCTGTGGTTCAGGCTATGATATGACATTACCGCATGTTTGGCAGCAGGATGTTACTGTAGGTGCTGTCCTTGGTAAACACTGGTTTAAGGCTTTGCTATGAACCGGGATAGGCAACTGAACTGGGGAAGTACTGCTTTTCAGGTTATATTGTCTTTTAGCCAAAGCAGTTTTTAACCCTGGGTCACAGCAGAGTCGTGGGACCAGTTTTGCCACCACTGCTGAGAAGACAGTGATGCAGAGAGAGGACCAGGACTCTGTAGCACACTTGGAGATGAGCAGCACGGCTTTTAATTGATGTTGCCTTTGGCAGCAATATTGCAGCATTGGAGTAGATCAGTGCAGATGAATGATTCAAGTTTTCCTATTTAAATTAAAAACAGCAAACTAACTAAATGCATCCATTGGAAATTTAAATTGGCTCGCAGGAAGCCTCAATTTAATGTGAACACTTTAGTTATATTTGGGCTGTGGTGCTTAGAAAGCTTGATTGAGATGAAGCTGACTTTTAGAGTCCTATCCTCGTCATTTCAGATCAAAATCAGATCAATTTAGCTTAAAAAGCATCATTGTAACGTATATTTTATGACTGGGAAGATATTTCATTATACATTTTATAAAACTTCTCTAGAAAAGGAAGAAAAGCCCAAAAATCAAGTCCAGGTTTGTGAACACTGGAATTTTGCTGTTAGAAACTCAAAGAAAGAGGGAGCATTTCTTGTGAAATACAGATCAAATACCGACACCTGATTTATCCTATTTACCATTACTGATAATGCAGAGAAGCACAAACATTTTTGCTATTATAGAGATACTGTGCCAGGAAAACCTGAAGGAACAAAACATTAGATGAGCTCTTTTTCTGCATGCAACCAAATTATAAGCGATACTTTTGCATTTGTACATACAGTTTCCATTCTGGGTGCTGCACCTTCAGTGACCCCATAGAAAGTTATTTGTGCTGTACCACCCATGTACACACAGTTAACTCCAGTTTGTTCATCTGGTGTGCATAAAACTGGGGGATAAGGGGGATACGCTTCTGCAAATGTAGTTTATATTCCTCACCAGCCAGAGCTGTGCTCCTTTTCCCAAGGTGGATAGTTCTGTGCAAAGCAGAGATTTCTTTGGTATTGAATGAGATGGAAAATCCTGGATTCTTAAATCCCTGGAAGCTACCAGGCTAATATAAAAACATCAGTTTCAATGGAGAATTTCATGTTCAAATCGCACAGGGTTTGTTGAAAAGGTATTTATTGCACCTGATGTATTTTCTTTGGCCAAGATAGCTCCTCCCAATGGAAGTGATGAGAAAGGTTTTCCCCTTTTTTTCTTTTTCTTTTCAGATAGCTGTGGTTAGATGTCTAATGACTGTTGCCATTCTCTGGTCAATCTGCTGTAATAGTTGATATTAGTGGGAAAATAAGGCACCTTTTTCCTCAGTCTTTGAAGATGAAAATGGACCTTCCTTAGCTCTTTTCTTTTGCTTGGGGATTTTTTGTTTTGTGTGGTTTGTTGGTTGGGTTGGGATTTTCTGCTCAGGAGATGAGTTGCTGTTTGGAAACAGCTGCCTGTAAAGGAAATAGATGTGTGATCAAAGCCCTGCCAATTACAGAGTTATTACTCTTTATCCTGGGCTTTTGAATAGGAGCTCACTCTCCCTGTCTGCTGCTAGCAGTGCTGGTGGCAGTGCTGTAGTGCCTGACATTTTCTGTCCTGGAACCCTTCAGGGGGACATTCACAATGATCTGCTCTGCCAGGGCTTTGCTTGTATTAAGTTTAATTGTAATATCACTGTTGTAGATCCTAATAATTATGTCATTCTGCTATTGCATTCAGGCTCTGTAATAGACCTGAGTGGCTTGTGAAGATGAGTATAAATTCATTTACTAGCACAGCTGTGTCACACTACCCACTGCTAGCCAAGGAAGATATGATTCTACAATGACTGTAGTATAAAAAAAACCCATAATTTCCTAGGGACCATCAATAATACAATTTATCATGTTGCTTTTGTTTTTAGTAATGTGGGATCATGTTAGGGAGTAGTAGATCTTGGAGGACGCAGATCTATAGGGGCAATTCAGTGGGTGGTGTGCTCCTCACCTGTGTTTTTGGCACAGGTCAAGGCTAGGCTCTCTGTAGCCACCAGCAGCAGTTTGCAGATCATAGAATTATAGAATAGCTCGAGTTGGAAGGGACCTTCAAAGCTCACCTAGTCCAACCCCCTGCAATGGGCAGGGACATCTTCAACTAGATCGTGGCTTTCCATTCAGTCATGATGAGCAATGCCCAGGGAGCAGTTGCTGTTGCTGTTCCAGCAGTAAGCACTGTTGTGGCTGCTGCTTGTATCTATGCTGACATGCCATTCCTGACCATCCCGAGACAGGGAGAAGGCTCATCCTGCTTACAGGCATTCAGGCTATCTTCCAGGGAAGGCAAGACCATCCTCCAGCCAGATCCCATGAAACTGATGTTTCAGAATCATAGAATCCCAGACTGTTTTGGGTTGGAAGGGACCTTAAAGCTCATCCAGTCCCAATCCCTGCCACGGGCAGGGGCACTTTCCACTAGAGCAGGTTGCTCCAAGCCCCTCTGTCCAACCTGGCCTTGAACACTGCCAGGGATGGGGCAGCCACAGCTTCTCTGGGCACCCTGTGCTTTTCCTGGCTCTGCCTTGGTGAACCTTCCTGGACGTGTCCCAAGGGGAAAGTGGCTTATTTGAGTGTGTACAGAATAGTTGTAGTGCCAGGCTGAGGGTAGCACCATGTGCCGCCGGTTTCCTTACCCCATCCTTTCTCAAAGAAAAGAGCAGATTTTAGGAAAACGCCTGGTTATTTTCATACTTCATGAGCACATTTTACCTCCTTTTGCCTCTCTTCCTTACACATGATCTAAACCCTGAGCTGCTTTATTTTTCCCCAAGGAAAACCAGCTAGTGGTTTGCATTGCGTCACTCCATTATTAATACAGACCTAGGTGAAACCACTGTATCTGTTTTCAATTTAAATATGAAAGTCTGAGCACTGTGTTTGTATGGATATGAAATCCCCACAAACCCTGTTCTGCAGGAGGAACGAAGTTAACCTGTGGCTGTGCAGCCAGAAACAAATTCCCCTGATCCTTTTACATCTGAAGGAGCAGGATGAAAGTGATTCTTCACTGGCACAAGCCAAGAGCTGCAAATGGTCTGCACCAAGCTCTGCTTCTTGCCTTAGTGGATGTGCCCTTTCCTCAAGAACACTTGTGTGCTTGGTTGATGACTGAATTATGCAGTGCCTTTATTTTTGCCCTGCTCAGTCATCTTAAGGCATTGGCCAACTATTTATAAACTGTCCATACTGTTTGTTTTGCAGGCATTACCCGAGGGGCAGACAGCATCCTGGGATACAGCCAAGGAAGACGAAAACCGCAATAAGAACAGATACGGAAACATAATCTCCTGTAGGTGTAAATTCCCATTAACCTGACCTTTCTGTGAGATGTTGTATGCATCCTGGGGAAAAGGGTGTGTTGGAGAACCTCACAAAAAGCTGGTTTGCAGTGCTGAGGATTCGGTGCGTTCGTTCCATGTTACATTTCTGTGATTTTAGTTTGTATTACAGGCTTTATTCATTGTTTTACATAAAGTCATTGCATGACTTGATGGTTTATGCAAATCTTCTATCAGCTTTGCTTTGTGCTCAATGTTTGCAATGTAAGGGCTAAATCCTTTTGCCAGCTATTCATGGTGGGTGGGTGGTGATGCCCATTTTCTGTCCATTTCTACTGCATGAACCATCAGTGCCACATATGGGAGCACTGAAGGAGATGCAGATATATCAGATTCTTAGTCAGGGATCAGAGATGAGATTTTCTCCCTCCTTGCGGTCAGTAACTGGTGAAGCAATCACTGCTTGTCTTCAGAGAGCTGGTTTGATGTGTGGGACAAGCTTAGCTTCTGCCTCAGAATCACAATTATGCAGCTGAAAATACACTAAAGCTTCTTAGTTTTACTCCTTTCAATAACCACTTACTCTTGATGTTATAGGAATATTGATGCATCACAGAACTGCAGGGCAGTGAATGACTCTATAAAACCATTCAGGTCAGCTTTGTTCTCCAAGTTAGGACTAGATTCACCTCTGCCATTTTGATCAGATACTTCTCCAGGCAGCTTACCCCGTGTTCCATTATTCCTTACAATGACTGGGGAGAGGAGGTGGGAGAGGTAATTCTTTGTAAGGGCTGCTAAGCAGCATCAAGTGGGAGAAGCCAGGCCTTAGACCATCAGAACAAGAAATAAGAGTATGAATGAATTTGCCATAGATTTTCATGACTGGATAAATCTGTAGAACGCTAGAAGAGAAGAATGAAGTCATGCTGAGTGATACATCTAGTACTCTATTTTTTCTGAGGTTAAATATGTATTTCCTGTAGAACAAGCAGATTTACTAAAGAATTAAAAAAACCCTTGGCCACAAGAACGATCATCTCACACATAACTATTCCTCTCTTAAGACTTGAAAGAAGTGGTTTCATGTAAACAGTCTGGGGAGAATGGCAAAAGAAAGTTAGTTCAGGGATCCCATGGTAAAGATGAAGAGATCTGGAAATGAATAACAGAAATTTGTGAGCCCTGCTCTGTTCCCACTTCTGCTGCTGGTTTCTGCATTGGCTGGGAGCAGGTCACCAGTTCCGTCAGTCCTTTCTTCTCCATGTGGAAAAAGGAAGTGATAGCACTGCAGTATTACAGCTAGTGTGGAAATCATCTCCCTGAACCTCACTGCAAGTTCCTCATGGCAAAGCGAGATGTCTCCAGACAGAGGTTCAGTTTACCTGTCTGTACGATTAGCTTAGATTAAATTAGTCTAAAACAGGCACATCATCCAGCTATAACAACTACACACTGGATTGAAGATGAAAGTGCCATAGTAAAAGGAAGGAAACGTGGAAGACTTCTTGTTTCTTTGTATGATCTTGATGAAGCAGTTGATATAAAAGTAGAGATGAGAAGAGACAAGTCTGTGTGCAGTAGCCACCATCTCATCTATATTGAAGTTCGCAAAGAACGTGTTCAACCCCAAGTGAAATGAGAGAAGAAATTAAGGAAGCAAAATCAAGGAAGATGAATGGGGCATTATCTGAAGGGAAGATGAAGATGTTCACAAAGATGAATTGTGGTCTAACAAAGAGTAATGGTAGCCTTCTAGCTATAAATATAAATACAGTAGAAATACAGATAGGAGGTGATGCACTTGAATAAGGGAATGTAAAACGTAATAAAAGCTAAGGAAGAAGTATAAAACATAGCTCTATAAAACATCAGGAAAAAAGCTCAAGTTTGAGGCCTGTTGGGAAAGGTTTCAGGGTAAGGTAGAAAGGAATAGATCAAGAAATGAAGGTAGTGAAAGAGAGGAAGGGTGCACAGGAGTTGGAGGTAAATTACAAAGTTGAGTGGGTTTTTTTCGTTTCAAATATTTATCAGGACAAAGAGTTTGAGGAGGAGACAACAGCTCTTCTGAAAGACAGCAGGGAGCATTCAGCAATGTGCAATAAAGAGTGATAAAATGGAGCAAAACCCTCGCTTCACTTTGCAGAGGCTGGGGAGAAGGGAGGGAGGATGTCTAAGGAAGGAGCATTGGAACTAGATGAGCTTAAGGTCCTTTCCAACCCTAACTATTCTATGATTCTATGTTCTGTAAAACCAGTGGGAAATGCTCGGTGGTGTCACTGGGTAAGTCTTGAGCCAAAGCCCACTGATGGCAATGCTGGGCAACTTCCATGAGTAAAGGCAAGGACAGGACACAGGATTGAGAGCAGACAACAGGAGAGTAGATCCCTCTAGGGAGGTGATAAAAACGAATTGTGCTCAGAGGGTGCAAACTGTGCAAAAGCCAGAGCAGGGAGGTGGAACACGATGAGACCCCTAGCTGCTTTGTTGTACTAGAATTGTAATTGCTGGTAAAACCCAGAGTATGCAGTGATTGCTTGTACCAGCTTACTTGGTGAAAGGCTGCAGATGGCAAGTAATGTGATTTATTTAACCACAGTTACCATTCCCCCACTCCTGGAACAAGATACCCCATGCCTTTTGGGCAGTGAATTGAAAAGTCAGATTTGATCTAACTTTTGTAACTGCTTCAGAGACTTCTGTTAAAATGTGGGTTTGTAAGCTCTCGCATAAGTAGCGTTGCTCAGTGAATCACAGCAAATGAGATCTTGTCTTTATGGCCTTCTGGGTAATAGTACATTTCCAGCACTGTTTCACTCAGCTCACTGCTTTCCCAGGGCTGTATTAACATCGTGCCTCCCTGTGAAAACCTAGGTCTCACTGCCAGCCCCACCATCTGCTGTTCTTACATTTGCAAACCAAAACTGCAGATGAGATTAATCTCATCATGGAGAGGAGATGCAAGAGAGTTCTAAGCTCTAAGTTCTCTCTCTCTACAACGACCTGAAAGGAGGATGGAGTCAGGAGGTGGCTGGTCTCTTCTCCACAGTAACAAGTGACAGTAACAAGTGATGGGACAAGAGGAAATGGCCTCAAGCTGCACCAGGGGAGGTTTAGGCTGGAGATTAGGAACAATTCCCTCCCCAGAGGGTGCTCAGGCATTGGAACAGGCTGCCCAGGGCAGCGCTGGAGTCACCGTCCCTGCAAGTGTTCGCAAACCATGTGGACAAGGCCCTCAGTGCCATGGGTTAGTGGTGGCCTTGGCAGTGCTGGGGAATGGTTGGGCTTGATGATTTTAAAGGTCTTTTCCAACCTCATTGATTCTGTGATTCTATCTATGATTCTCTCATGCTTTAAACCCCAGTTTTCAAGGTTCCCTTCAATCTGCAATGCTTATATGTTTTTTTGGAGAAAAAGAAAAGCTGAGGAGTGGATTTGGGGCCTGTGTGGCCACAGAAATCCCCTGTTGATGGTGGAAGGATGGATTGTGACTGCACAGATTTACCATGCTGGAGGAAACTGCCCTACTTGAACTTTTTATTGTAGCAGTAATGTCCATGAACTTTGCTTTGGGTATAAATGCTGTAAATACAACAACAATTGTGGAGCTGCAAGATTTTTCTGTAGAGGGCAAGGGTAGGTAGTGGATCCATTCACATGCTGAAGCAAAGTGATTTAAACTTGCTTCAGGGCTTAGATATTGAGGACTTCAAAGCACGTTGGCAAGCGGTTGTTAGGGTAGGGATATTGAACTGAACTCATAGAAGAGAAAACATCCAGAAGCTATGTGGGACCTTTGGTTCTATTCTTCTATTTCCCCCCCTCTAGTCCAGATTTAGAGCCATTATACTGGGTAATGAGAGTGAAAACTCTCAGATGAGAGCTGAGGACATAAAGACATAGGATTGTGTTTTGGAGTGGAGTATGTTCCCACTTAGGCACCACAGGTTTAAAGTCTTGTGATGGTCCATTAAAAACTTGAGTTGATGACAAAAGACAAGAGAAGTTTGCTTCATTTCCTTCACACTCTGGCTACCATGTGCTTCAGGCTGGAACACTGTGAATTAATCAGAGAATTTTATGGTAGAAGAGACAAAGAACAGATTGAGATTAACAGAGATTTCAGCTGAAACGTTGGTGGAGTGCACTTCTTGGCCGTGGAAAGGGATAATGCACAGTCAGTATTGGATTTAGAATAACGGTCGTATCTTTCAAGGATTTTTATTCCATGGTTTCTTCTGTAATGCCTAAACGCTTGCTTGTCTGTGCAGTGCCAATGGATCTCAGTCACAAGAGGAGGGGATAAATCACACCTTGCTGTTACCCAGTTCTCAGAGCACACTTCAGGATTGGAGGGGATAAAGAGGGGAGGAGGATGGTGTGTCCGTAAGAGGGCAGATCATCCTTCCATAGCAGAACTGGGCTCGATCATTTCAAAAGATGTCTGTGTATTTCTCTGGTGGTTGTGAGGAGCCGTGACAGCCAGTTTAGCTGAGCTGTGTAATGTTTAGACGGTGAAAGTTGTGCGAGATTAAGCCGGCGCTGGTGTCGGAATGAGATGTGGAAAAATTGCAGTGATCTTTCAAATGATCACTAATGGGAATTTTGACAGAAGTTTGAAGTGATAACATTTTTGTGCTAAAATGGGAGCACGATGCTTCTGGGTGAAATTCTTGTCACTTTTGAAATCCTTTTTAAGACCAATTTTCAGTCAAAGTACTCAGTACAGATTTAGAGTTCTGCTGAGTTACATACGGACTAGAGCAAACAGGGAGAAATCAAAGCATTTATACACTTAAAGTATATTTCCTTTTTTTGCAGCCCTCAGTGTTACAGACATGCAGTTTTTTTTCCTGTTTCTCCCTCCATTTCTAAACTTACGTATAATCCAGTTGGAACACAGTGACATGATGTCTGACAAGTTTAGAGTGGAATGAAATGTTGATTTCAGTATCCAAATAAGTTGTTTCCTTGGCTAGTGTAGTCCAGTGGATAGGCTGCAGAATCAGAAATAGATTTTAACCACTGGGAGAAGATATAATAAAGACATTTTCTGGTCTTCAAAAACCCCTTTAAAGTCCTTAGATGAAAAAACTAAGTAGAATATTGTTATTGCTAATAGTATAAGTTGCATAGCGTTTGTTTCCCCTCTCCATTAAAATAAAAAAAGAAAACACGTTCCAAAGTTTGGGAGGAAAAAAAGGGATTTACAAGGTAAGTTACTTCATGAACTTTTATCCAGACTCTGCTCCTAAACTTATGAAAAAGATTAAGGACACCATTAAGACATCATTAATATTTTGGGTGCTTATTGCATACACTGATCTTTTTACTTTTCTGCTGCACTGTTCACACTTATAAAGAGAAATAAATCTCCCCCAGGAATTAATCTCATTTTTGTAAAATATGCAATAAAATACTCTGAATTCTGTCCTCCCAAAGCAAAGAAGCATTTTTTATTTGGTCCCAAAATGTAATTGGACCTAAACCTGGATGTCTCCTCTTTGTCAGGTGTCATTCATTTCCAATCATCATTCTTCATCCTTTGCTGTTTTTCACAGATGGAATAACCATATTGGCTGAAAGGAAAAAAAAAAACGACCAACAATACTTCCTACAGCTACAGAGCATCTTTTCTTTATCCATAATCACCTTAAATGCATAGTCCTTTTCTGCAGTCTGCTCCTTGGGTCTTTCACATTTAACTGCCTCAGAAGGTATTTATAGAACCCCAGACTGGTTTGTGCTGGAAGGGACCTTAAAGCTCATCCAGTTCAAACCCCTGCCATGGGCAGGGACACCTTCCACTAGAGCAGGTTGCTCCAAGCCCCTGTGTCCAACCTGGTCTTGAACACTGCCAGGGATGGGGCAGCCACAGCTTCTCTGGGCACCCTGTGCCAGCGCCTCAGCACCCTCACAGGGAAGAGCTTCTGCCCAAGAGCTCATCTCAGTCTCCCCTCTGGCAGGTTCAAGCCATTCCCCTTGTCCTGTCCATACAGGCCCTTGTCCAAAACCCCTCTCCCGGCTTCTTGTAACACCTTTAGGCACTGGAATCTGAGGTTTCCCCAGAGCTGAACAACTCTCTCAATTCATCCTGCCTGTTTTGAGTTTATTATGAGTTGCTCAAAGAACTGATTCTTAATTTGGAGGTTTGGTTCCATTAGAAGAAGAGAGGCAGGTTCTTCCTTGAGGGTTATTCAGAGCCCTTTAGCTACACCCCCTGCATAGACAGTGTCTTTGTCCCTCTTAAAACATCAACCTGAGATTATTTTGACCTTATCACTTTTAAGCTGTATTGTTGCACTAAGTGAAGACTTCCATAACATTGTTGTATTGTGTTAGCAAAGTTCCCCTCCCAACCATCAGCTCTTGGGGTTTTCCCTTTCCTTCTATTCCATGTGATCCTTACCTAGCTGAGTTTGCTGCCTGGAATTACAAGTGTGAAATTGTCGACGGGAGGGTTTGTGTATTTCATCTGGATGTCCAGTTTAATCAGCTCTTTGTCTGTCTTTGGGAATTGCTCCAAGTGTACATTCTTTTGTTGTCTGTCTAACCACATGATTTACTGCAACTCCCGGTGCCGTTGCCTTGAGTGCAGGTAATTGGGAACAACGTCAGCACTGTAAGAAACGCACATATCTCCTTCCACTGCGCCTGCAAAGGTTGTATTTATTAATACAAATATAATAGAGCTTTTGATGGATTCACCTGCGTAACCTTTTTAGAATGCAAATACGGGATTTGATAAATGCAGCAAATGTGGTTGTATTCTTGGGGGCTGAAAATCTTGCCCAAAGAATGATCACAGTAAGAAAATCATTCCTTTTCATAACCAAATGAATATTTAATAAATATCCAAATCTTGGTTTTCGGGCATATCTCTCCACAATTATTATCTGGTCCTACATTTAATTAAGTTATGACTAAAACCCTTTTTGACTGAGTTGCTGCAGAATCACACCTTGGATTTTTATGTTTCATTGTTATGATTCTTTTTAATGGAATATAAATCGTGCTTAGGCCCATATTTTGCAAATTGCTTCTAACCATTAGTGCTTTATTGACTGAGGCTACAGTAGTATAGCTGGTAGAGAGGAATTAAATTTAATGGACTCAATATTATACTTGTTTTTGTAAATCCTTTAGAACTGAGCAGAGCATGGCCAGCGATGACCTCTGCCACCTAGTACATTTGCCGAGCAACTAGCCCTTAGATAGAGTTGTGCAGTGTAATTACATGCTGGTGCTGGGATTGCCAGACCATATCAGATCAGAGCCCAGCTTGAGGAGATGTCCTGTGGCAGGGCCCAGCACCAGCTGTTCCAGGGACAGATCTGAATATTCCCATGGTAGAAAATCGTGTCATAATCTGCCCGCTGGGGTGGTTCCTGTCTGCTCTGAACTGTAGTGTGCTGGGAGATGGAGAGATCAGTATCTGGTGTTTTACTGCCTCATGTAAAGTAACTTTGAACATCTTCAAAAACATGTATATTTATAATTTTGTTGGGTTTTGACACTGCCTTGATGTTTTGCTGCTGTGAGTTCTGTGGGTTGCATAAAGAAGATTGCTCTGATTTCTTTTAGTGTTTCTTTTTAGGTTTCTGGGTTGTCCCATTTCTTATTTGCAGGATTGCATTTGCCATTTTACCCTCCTTAATCTTTAATACCTCTGATTTGATCTATTTATTTTTATCCTGACCTTGTCAGTTTCAGCTCTTGCCTCAGTTTCCATAGGTCAGATGAAGGCAGGGAGGCTTCAAGCATCAGGATGGCTTTTGTCATGGAGATACATCCTGCAAAGATCTGTCCTGAGACTCCCAAGCCAAGCAGAAGCAGCATTTGTGGTCTGACTAAAAGCTCAATGAGGATTATTGTGGCAGCAGTGAATTTAATGAACACAGAGTATGAATGGACACTTCAGGATCTAAATGTTACATCTTGAACACAAAAGGCTTGTAGGAACAGGAACACCTGTGATATTATTTCATTTTTTACTGCTGTAAGAATTTCCTCCCCACTTGCAGGAACCAGCAGATCAAATGAAACACTGAGAAACTCCTCTTTATCGTTACTGTCACTTCTTTTCCTTTCCTTCTTTCAGATGATCATTCAAGAGTGAGATTGCAGCTGCTGGATGGGGACCCTCACTCTGACTACATAAACGCCAATTACATAGACGTAAGGCTCCTGGACATCCCCACTATGACAAACACTCCTGATGACAAGTCTGCCTATGAATTTGGTGCATGTGACATAGGGACAGACTGTTGATCTGATATGAATGACAGCTGAACATTACACAAACGTCGTGTTGTGACAGGGAGAAGGTTCTCGGTCTCCTGTTTATTCTGTCTGACCAATCTGGACAGATGGAGATTTCCTATGTTTGACAGATCCACCAACATAAGTGGAATGTGGGCTAAATTGACGTATATGGAAAGCAGTATCAGCCCCATGCAATAGCACTGGTAGATATCTGAGACTTACTAACTTCTTACAGAGTTGCAGTGCAGAAGGCATGTAAATAGATTGACATATTTTTTAGTGTTATAGAATAACATTCAAAGAGCAGCCTCCCTCACACACACAGAATCATCAAATGAACATGTGTTTCTTGTATGCGTGTTCTAAATCTTAGGAACATAGAATCATAGAACCACAGACTGGTTTGGGTTGGAAGGTACTTTAAAGCTTCTCCAGCTCCAACCCCCTGCCACGGGCAGGGACACCTTCCACTAGAGCAGGTTGCTCCAAGGCCTGTCCAACCTGGTCTTGAACACTTCAGAAGAGTTTCTTTAAGGGATGAAAAATCCACCTGATGAAATTACATAGGACAGATACTCAGCATTTCCACACTGAGGCAACACATACCTTTCTTTTTGTGAACAATTAGGTGCAGCATTTTGCCTGTTAGTTTACAGAGTTGCCCACAGGTCAGTCCCAGGGCTTGTGTTTCTTTGAGGAAATTGTAAAAGCTGCCTCATTCCTGTTTTCTCTTTGGCATGATGAGATCTTGTTTTTCAGCCTGAGTGAGATACTATCACTTATAATCTCACAGGGCTACCCAGTTGCCTATCTTCACTCATTCAGTAATGGGTGTTAGTACACTGTTAAGGCTGCAGCAGTTGTTGGAAGCTGGAATGTGTAAAACACACAACATGCTTTGTCTGAACTGTGATTTCACAGACCATCACATATTTTCTTTTCTTCCAGGGGTACCACCGGCCTCGCCATTACATTGCAACTCAAGGCAAGTTCATTCTTGTATGTCTAAATATTTATAAAACCACTGCTGTTTTAAATGGTTGTAAGAGCTATTTCATAGAATCCCAGACTGGTTTGGGTTGGAAGGGGCCTTAAAGCTCCTCCAGTTCCAACCCCCTGCCATGGGCAGGGACACCTTCCACTAGAGCAGATTGCTCCAAGCCCCTGTGTCCAGCCTGGCCTTGAGCACTGCCAGGGATGACGCACCCTATTTAGAGGGCGACATCTTCTGTTTTGGGGAACTTCTGAAAACTCATTATAGAGCTACAAAAGGCAAGGATACAGAATGTTCCATGATCTTTAAGGCACTCAAATGCAAAACCTCAGCTACAAGAATAAGAAGTGCTTCAGACTTAGAGGTGGCAGTGTAATCTATAACGTGTCTGTTATGCATGAAGTATGAGATTAGAACTAAGAGAGACTTTATGGATCTTGTGTTTACCTTCTGGTGGTATGAAATTCCTTGAGGAGAGCAGTATGAATAACCCTGTGAGTGATGAACATTTGGTTACTGGGGGGCTTCAGAAAAGGGCTAATCTCTGCTTATTTCCTTCCTCCTTCATAATGAATAAATATTACATAGTGAATTGGAGGAATTTTAGTGCTGCACCAGGTACAAATTTCAATACAGTCTTCATTACAAAGTCACTATGGGGTGTCCCATCACTTACACATGTTTACCTACTGGACCCATCTCTGGTGGTTACAATACAGCCATCACTTCTATTTCCAGCACCCCAGAACCTTAAATACGCTGAATACCCCTGCATGGAAGTGTCTGATCACTTAGGAGAGCTCCTGGCTATTGAATCGCAAAGAGATGCTCTGAAAGGGAGAGTAGGAACCTGGGGGAACAGCTGGGAGGAGTTGTTGGCATCCAGTACACTCTCTTAAGATGTCCTTTTGTCTTTTCTCCTGCCCTAGGGCCTATGCAAGAGACAGTGAAGGATTTCTGGAGAATGATTTGGCAAGAAAACTCCGCAAGTGTGGTCATGGTCACCAACTTGGTGGAAGTGGGCAGGGTAAGGGTTCCATTTTCCCAACACACAAAGCCAGTCCAGTGCTGGGTACCACACGGTGCTGCTGTTCAGGCAAGCTCGCCAAGTGAAATGCCTTTTGCTTACTATAGTAAGCGAATGAATTAAGCCACTCTGCAATGCTAGATTTTGTAGTACTTAGCTGCTTCCCTTCTAGACTAATAAGGATTGTGTTCCTGGTGTAAGTCTTGGCTTTAGCAGAGTTATCTACAAATTTATGCTGGCTGAGAAGCTGTCTCTTTTTCACTACAGAAGGAAAAATGTACTTCTGTAGTAATTATTCTTTATCTGTATAATTTGAATACTTCTTTACCCAGGAAAATCCAGAGGGGCAAGGATGTGTGTCTGGTGTTCAAACTGTTTAAAGAGCTCTTTAAATAACAGTTCAAAGCCTGGAGTTTCCAGTCACTTCAGAAGATCGCTGTTCCGCGGTGGTATGAGATTGTGCATGGCTGGATCCTGGGGCCACCCAGCAGCTTGGCCTTCTCAACCCCCACCACTTCACTCTCTTGCACTCAGATGAACCAGAGGCCCTGTGTCAGCACAAGGCAATTGCCAAAGCCCACGATGAGAGCAAACATGAATAGCTCTAAAGGCATAGGCTAGACTATAGGGAGTAGGAAAAAGCATGTCTGGGGTGGCTTTCCTCAGGATGTTCTTCCCACTCCTTCTGGTTTTTGGTTTAGAGACATTGTCAGCCAGAAACTGGAGCTCTTATTTATGGTTTTTCCTGGTATTTGTCACTTTCCATTGCTTTGGTACTAAGAAAAGTTTAAATGATCATTTACCCACAGCCATTATTGATTCAGCTGCTTTGTATTTGATTTCCTTTAGATCTCATGGTTGAATGCCAGCTGGTTCAGTTCATTTATTGTTACTTATTCTATGTTACCTTCTGCTGACACTTCACTTTGAAATAAATGCTGCTGTGTAAAAAAAACCCCAACAAACCTACATTAATCATATTTAATGTTTATAAAATCCCTTCTGATTATGACTGGAACATGAAACCTGCTTTGCAGAAGCTAATTACTTCAGCTTTTAGGTACTGTTTTTCTCTTTCATGATAGAGCATTTAATAACTTGATAGTCTTTGTTAGCCTTAAATATCCCTTCCAGTGTTTCACAGCCTTGGCTTTAATTTCTACTGTTAGTTTAGCACATGTCTTCTAGAAGTGGCTAAGCTTGGGCCATGTTTATGTGATCAGGAGATTCCTTTCCTGAGCCTTAGCTGAGGCCTGTCACAGCTGGTAGAATGTCAAATTTGTGTCCACATCTGATAAGGAAAGCTTAGAGTCAAACAAATTTAATGTATCAGCAAGTATCACACAATCCCTATGAACTGAAATGCTCTGACTAAACAGAGGGAGTTGGGAATTACAGTAGCAATAGCAAGAGCATAGATTTTCCTCAAAGGGGGTGGTGGCAGTGACTGCCAGGGAGTCTGTGAACCTCATATACGCTCAGGGCATGTATGAAATTCAAGGAAGACTGTCTTAAAGAAGAAGAGCTTAAATGCATCCTTTTTATTTGCATTGACAACAGAGGAAGCTGAAAAAAATCCTCCCTGTGCTTTCTATATATGATAAAGGAATCTTGATTTAATTTATACAGTTAATTTTGAAAAGGTTTCTGCATCAGAAGAAAGGCCAACTTGTGTTGGCTTCAGCTTCGAAGTGGAGGAAAATGTAGATCAGTTCTGACTCAACTTGAGCTAGTTCCTCTCAATATTTTCTTTCCCTCACCCAGGTAAAGTGTGTTCGGTACTGGCCAGATGACACAGAGGTCTATGGAGATATTAAAGTCACATTAATTGAGACAGAACCGTTGGCAGAGTATGTCATACGCACATTTACTGTGCAGAAGGTAAGGAAACCTTCATTCAGCTGGAATTCTGATACAGCACTTAATTTGTGTTCAGAAATTGTCTGGGAAACGGATCCAGAATGCTCTTGGAGATGGGAGCTGTTGCTGTTTGGACAGGTTTCACTTCAGAAACCTAAATCTTGAACAGAGATTCCAATTTTGGACAAATGATTTTACATGAACATCTTGATGTAGCCACTAAAGTAGAATCCACAGTGCATGAAGTTTAAATGCATCCAAAAGCCAGCAGATAGTTGATGATGTGCCAGACATAACGTGTGTTTCACAGTGGCAAATTACACATGAATAAAGGTACCAGTTAAACTGGATGCCAAGTAGGATCCCTTTTCAACAGAAATAAAAACATAATAAAGGCAAGAGTAGAAGAATTATCCCCAAATTGGCAGCATTTGGAAAATTTTTGTTCCTTGTAATTCGAAATTGGAAGTTTAAGTGTCAGAGTATTCCAGGCCTGCCCAAGTTACTCTCCAAACACTCAGTAAATGCTTTTAAAGCTTTCAAAAATTCCTGCTAAATGAACTTCAGCTATACTGGGAATACTGCTCCAGTTCTCTAATACATCGGCTCCATATGTCACTAAACCACTCTGTCCTGGTTTCAGCTGGGATAGAGCAAGTGGCTGCCTGGTACTTAGCTGGCAACTGGCTTTAAACCACAACACATTATAAACCTGGTAAGAAGTGTTATTGCCAAAAGCTGACAGGTTAGAGGACCCGCTGCTGGACTCACCCTGCATCTCCTGTGACCATGAAATGTCACAGCTAACAGGCACTTCTTTGTTACCCTTTGCAGGGCATATACACGTAGTGTCCATTTTCATGTACCAATCACTTGGTCTCACCAGAAAAGCCACCTCATGGGTCTGGCTACCACTTTTTGCCCTTTTTGCCACCAGCTGTAATCTCAAACTGAGACTTTCTGCAGGAGATGGCAGAAGATCTACCGTTGGAATGGGGCATGCCTTCTCTCAAGGTGTCCATTCCCCAGGCTTGTAGCTTCAACACCTCAAAAAGGATTTAAGAGTGACTGCTTGGTGGTTCATGGCAATAACACCACAGGAGGCTGGATAAACGCAGCCATGGTTTACTGGTGCTGAAGTCACTCTATAAAGTGAGCTGGGTTTGAATTCTAAGACCACAGGTTTGAACTGGGAGCTGGCACACAGCTCTCAGTTGTGTGACCCACTTCATTTGTTATTGGAGTTCAGCTTGAAATCTCTTGGAGTAAAAAGCAGCACAGGAGACGTTCCTGCGCATAATGAGAGCTAAATGCTTGCTCGGGGAAAGGAGCAGTGATCAGAATGTGCTGACTGCAGTCATAGAGGCTGTGTTGTCTCCTCAGAAAGGCTACCATGAGATCCGAGAGATTCGGCAGTTCCACTTCACCAGCTGGCCGGACCACGGCGTTCCTTGCTATGCTACCGGCCTCCTGGGCTTCGTTCGCCAAGTGAAGTTCCTTAATCCCCCAGAAGCAGGACCCATTGTCGTGCACTGCAGGTATGTGAGCTCTTTGACTGAGCCTTTCCTCTGTCAGCTTCTTTTCTTGTCATCTGACAATAATCAACTGCGTTTAGTTTGTGTAAGGGTATAATCTGTGGGCCTCACCAGGAAACAAAGTGGATTTGGTTTTCTAAAGTGGCAGCTCTGGAGCCTGGCTGGCACAGATTGGAGGTGTTATAAGTAGGTTCAAGAGGGCCATTTGAGTCTCTGATGGCCTATGCTTTCTTAGATGCTCATAGCAGAGCTGGGAAGATGGTAAGTATCTGGTTCAGCCATTCCAGTTGTTACCTACAACAAGACCTCACATGGCAGAAGGGTCAGTGTCTACAAAAAGACAGGGAATTTGAAAGCAACTCTCCTTTTCTGTACCCACATGCACTGCAGCTCAGCTTCATGCCAGCATCAACAGGCTTACCAGAAACATTACACTGTCTTCCCAGCTCTGGATACCAGTGCTGTGAATCTTGGACTCCTCAAAGCCCAGGAGTTGGAATGGGAATGTCAGATTGAAAGCCTGTCCAGGGCCTTCCAGCTAGTTAATAAGAGGGGAATGCCTGAGGAAACCTCACTGCTTGGTTTACAGCTGTGAGAATTCAGAATATTGGATCATGTGCTTGCTAACTCCACAGCTGCTGCTGTTACTGGTGAGGGCTCCATAGAATCACCATAGAATCAGATACTGGTTTTGTTGGAAGGGACCTAAAAGCTCATCCAGTTCCAACCCCCTGCCATGGGGTTGCTCCAAGCCCCTGTGTCCAACCTGGCCTCAAACACTGCCAGGGATGGAGCAGCCACAGCTTCTCTGGGCATCCTTTGCCAGCGCCTCAGCACCCTCACAGGGAGAAGTTTCTTCCTTGTATCTAATCTTAATCTAAACTGATCTTAAAGCTCTACTGTGCGACACCCTATATGAATATGTAGGAGAGTGTTCCTGACATGAAGAAGAAACAGTTTGAGGTGTGAGCAGTTATGCTGCTGGTGGTGGGAGAGCAGACACACGCACACAGGCTGCCATCAGAGCTGGAGACTTCAAATGCAAGGCAAGAGATTGATACAAAACCAGAGTTTGGGTTTGTAGCAGCAGTGCCAAAGCCTCAGCCCTAATCAGTCTACAGGCAATTACCTCTGAGTGCCATGCTGTGTGATCAGGAAGAGAAAGGCAGTACATCCCACAACCACTTTAAAAAGGGAAATGAATTAAATCTCACCCTTTTTAAACAGTTTGGGGTTGGGGGGTGTGTTTTGTTGGGTTTTTTATCAAGCAATGAATCATTTCTATAATAAAATATAGCTAGGCCTGAGGAGGTGACAGAAGGGGATTCATGTAGAGCTTAGGGCCTGAAGTTGCTGCCTCGGTGCCATGACGTGAGTCTGGCCCTGGAAGGAGTTTGAACCTGATTCATTTTCACCACGAAAGCAAGGAGGAATTTTTCATCCTTCACATTGTAATGAATAGAGGCCATTTCCTCACTGTTATTTATCTGCTTTTGAATTTAAATGACTTGCTTTAAGTGGTAATTACCAAATTCTCCCTATCGATGCCTGGCTGGATAATATCACTGTTCGATATTTATGAAGTGCCAGGATCCTCTAAATATAGAAATGTTATAACTATTTGTTAAAATTCTGAAAAGCTGAGAGATAAAGGGAGAGGAAATGCCACTTATTCATTAAAATTCTGCAAATGAAAAATATCTTTCCTCCATTCAGCAGTTGATTAATCTGGTCCATTAATTTATGGTCATTCATATCTCCTTGCTTTCGGCGCTGCTGGAGTTTTCATGCAGCTGAAGTTGCCCTTTTTTTAGCTGAGTTTTCCTTCTTCCTTTGAAGTAATGTGCAGAGACATTCCCCTCACTCTCTCCTTCACACCTAAAGAGGTTGGATGATTTCCCAGGAGGGAAGAAGGACACAGTGACAGCACAGCTTTGCAGGAGATGGTTCAATTCCCACAAGCAGTGGGAGGCTCTAAACTGAAGGTTTTGAGTAGCCTCCAGCTCCTTTTCTCCATCATCCTACAGTCCACAACGTGAGATCACCCTCCTCAGGACCCAAACTCATCTGGATTAAAAAGGGAAAAGAAATGTTTGAGGTGGAGGATCGAGCCCCTTCCCTCATGCCCACTTGAGTAAAGATATGCATGGCTTTTTTGAAGAAGGAAATGTTTGCAACTGTGTGGTGAGAGGTGTGCAGGTTAACCAACCTGTAAAGCATGATGATTATTTCTGTCATTATTTTCTTGGTGTTGAAGAACATGAAGCTTTTGTTCTTGCTACCTGAGTCCATTCAGGAAATAGCATTTCACCTCATTCTCTTAAATTCTAAGCTAATTTAGCTACTCATAAATATCAATATAGGAGGGAGAGGGGAGCAGCTTCCAAGAGGAGATTGCTTGTGTCCATGCTGCAGTGTTCTCCACAGAGCCTGGCCTCTCCACGGTCCCTTGATCATGCAGCTCCTTGTGTTTTTCTCTTGTTTCAGTGCAGGGGCTGGGAGAACAGGGTGCTTCATTGCCATCGACATCATGCTTGACATGGCAGAGAACGAAGGCGTGGTGGATATATTTAACTGTGTGCGAGAGCTGCGATCCCAAAGAGTCAATTTGGTGCAGACAGAGGTAGGTGCCAGCAGGTCTCCTCTTACAGTGTGCTGCTTTTCTGTCAGCTTCTCTGCTCAACAAGAGCCCAGCAATTCATTAAGTCAACACTCCCTTGCTCTGTGATGTGATTATACAGAGCTTTCGGTGGCTAAACATGTCCAGATGTGCCCTGAATCACATTAACTGGCAGCTCCTCAGGGCCCCCAAGACAGGAGGGCAAGCCTTGAAGTTTAGGTCTTAGCATTGCTGATTAATTTTATTCTCCTAGTAGAAAAATGCTAAGCTCCTGCATCCTCTCATGCCTCATTCATAGGCATGCCACAGGCTCCAGTAGTGCCTGGTTTATATCAACTGCACACTAAGCAAATGAAACATCCTTGACTCAAGCTTTGGGTGCTGATTAAACAAGATGCTCCATCATGTAGCATCTAGCAGCTGCACAAACTTCTATGGAACTGTCACCCTGCTGCACAAGGTTTATGTATGTGCTTCAATGCCTTCCCCTCCTGAGGGACAGGAACAGAGAAGTGCTTTTAACTTTGCTGGACTTCTCCTCTTTAGTTCAAGGAAAGAAATACCAGAAGTCCAGAGGTTTTGAAACGATAGAGCAGACCTGTTAGTACGGTTGTTTCGTGAACAGAAAAGTTTTGCACCCTGATTTCCTCCTCAGCCCACTCCCATTTTGGCCCAGTGTTCCTGTGAGTGGTGACTTCCCATTTGACTTGTAAATCTGAAATGAGTACATGAGACATCACAGTCACTGATGGATGAAACACACTCACAAAGCTGTCACAAAGCACACTGTGTAATTTGTCTCTGCATGAAACAAAGCCAAATGTGCGTATCAGGCATGATTTAAGGAAAAAAGCATGATGTTTCATTATCTATATTGAAAATATGATTTTCATGTCTTATCCCCCCATATGCAGGAGCAGTATGTGTTTGTCCATGATGCCATTTTGGAGGCATGTCTCTGTGGCAACACGGCCATCCCAGTTTGTGAGTTCAGATCCATATATTACAACATCAGCCGACTAGATCCACAGACCAATTCCAGCCAGATAAAAGATGAGTTTCAGGTAATTTGATGTGTCTGTCACTGCAGTTGGTGTTTAATCAATTTCCATGTGTTATTTTATGATTTCCAATAGGGCAGAGAAGGGAGACACTGAGTCCAGGTCTCATTTCAGCTGATTTTTGTTATTTTACTGCTGCATCAGGCAGAGATTTATTTCTGAGCATGGACTTCAAGCATGGACTGGTATTGAGCATCCCTTTAGGATTTTCAGCCAACACTGACGTAAGGAAGAGATAAAATATTGTGGGAAATTTGGGGCAAGGTAAGTTTGATAGAAAAAGAGGCCTCAGGTATTTATTAAGAAGCCATGCTTCTTAGTCAGTAGGAAAAAGGTGAGATTCCTTTAATTGTACAAAATGATTTGAGAAAACATTTAAAATTATGAAGTGGATGGAGAGCAGCCCTCAGGAGAAGGACTTGGGGGTGTTAGTCTGTGAGAAGATGACCCGGCTTCAGTGTGCGCTTGAGCCCAGAACCCCCGCGTGTGCTGGGTGCACCCCCAGAGCATGAGCAGCAGCTCAGGGAGGGGATCCTGCCCCTCTGCTGTGCCCTGGGAAGACCCCTCCTGCAGCCCTGATCCAGCTCTGGGGAACAGCACAAGAGGGATGTGGAGCTGCTGGAGTGAGGCCAGAGGAGGCCCCGGAGCTGCTGCGAGGGCTGGAGCAGCTCTGCTCTGGAGCCAGGCTGAGAGAGCTGGGCTGGGGCAGCTGGAGAAGAGAAGGCTCCTGAAGGGGACACCTTAGAGCAGCTCCAGTGCCTAAAGGGGCTCCAGGAAACCTGGAGAGGGGCTTTGGACAAGGGATGTAGGGACAGGACAAGGGGAATGGCTTTAACCTGCCAGAGGGGAGACTGAGATGAGCTCTGAGGCAGAAGCTCTTCCCTGTCAGGGTGCTGAGGCGCAGGCACAAGGTGCCCAGAGAAGCTGTGGCTGCCCCATCCCTGGCAGTGTTCAAGGCCAGGTTGGACACAGGGGCTTGGAGCAACCTGCTCTAGTGGAAGGTGTCCCTGGCCATGGCAGGGGGTTGGAATTTTAAGGTCCCTTCCAACCCAAACCAGTCTGGGATTTTATGAAATGCTCACCCCCTTTTCCAGCAATGTATCTTTTGCAGCAAGAGAACATATTCTGGGAGTGCTGATCTGAATCAGATGCCTCTTTTCCTTTCTCTCGCTGCAAAGGGACAAAGTGTGGTTTTTATCTGAAACCACAGAAACACCAGGGTTGATATAGCGAGATAAAGAATGTGGATCCCAACTGGTGACAGTTCAATTAAAGAAAGATCTGGTTTTATCAAGTGATACCAGATTTATAAAAGTGTTTCTGGTTCTGGACACATGGCATGATGGAACCAAAGCCCAACTACATTTAGTGCTGTCATCCTGTTAAAAAGAAAGGCACCGTTTGCTGGGCTTACTTTGTCATGATAGGAGATGAGATTTGTCACCTGTGTGCTTGTTCGTTTGAGCTACCAGGGGCTGGAATGTCACATGGGAAGGAAATTCTCCACTGTACTTTGATAAGAGGTTCGGTCTTTGTCTAGATGTAGAATCTATTTGTACAGATTTTGGCTCAGAGCATTCTTCAGCCCAAATTGTCTGGATTTAATGCAAGAGATGGTATCTTTTGCTAGAGTCTTTATGAACCAGTTGATCTAACTATAGATCTGTTGGTGCAATTTGTATTATTTAGGTCCCACTGGCCCTTGAGTAAGGCTTCATGTATTTCTCATGCAATGCATGTTGTCTGAACATGGAAAACCTCCTTCTGTAGAATAAATACTAAAACAAGGGAGCAAGGGGAAGGGCATAAAATAGAGAGGAGTAGATCATTGAGCTACCTGCCTATTTCTCTGCACTGGCAGAGATCTGAGATTTCATGTTGCTTCCCCAGCCAGATAACCTGCTTTCCATCACTAGACAAAGGGTCCTTAATGTAGAATCTGCCTAACTTAGAGCAACCGTGGGTTTATTTCAGTTTTATATTTTGACGCATTCGTCTTGGGTTGTTTGACCCATTCATAACTTCTCTGTGGCAGAAGTTAAGCTCTAGATAAGAATTTTTGAACCCTAAATATTTTAGGTTCCTCTGATGGCTGTAAAGGTGTTCACTCAATGACTGCTTGGGCTTTACTCAGGATGAGGACACATAACAAGTGACAGTGGAATGACATCTGATAGCCACTGATCTGCCACAACTTAAACAACAGTGTTGAGATGTGTTCACTTTTATTCCCTGTATTTGATCCCTGCTCACCAACCTGGACTGGCTGGTCACAAAAGAAGATTAAAGAAATACAGTTTATCAAGTTATGGGAAAGACAGATAATGGTAAAAGACTGACAGCAAGACCCCAGAGATAAGTTATAACTATGTAAGTGAAGCATCCTGTATGTCACTCCAAAAGGAAAGTAGCAATCTAAATAATGCCAGAAACAAATAGACCTTCCTGTTAAAAAAACCCCAAATTTTCTCTTGGGTTTTTATATGCGTTGCTGAGATAAATCAGTAGTTTGACTGAGGAATTACCAGAGGATTTGAACCCAGTCTGACCTATTGGGTGAGCATGGTCAGTACTCAGGGTACTTCTGCCCAGGACCCCATACTTCTATTCCCTCCCATGAAGAGGGAGAAGGATGTTTGCTTCCACCCTAGGGATGGTAAAAACATGAGAATGTTTCACTCCATGACCAGGTCAAAGCTGAAGCTTGTACCTGTGACAGCTATTCCCAACCTCTAGGAAAGAACAGAAATGTTATTTAACTAATGTGGGGTGTAAGAGCTGGAAGTTGTTGGAAGGTGTATATAGTGCTCTCAGTTGTTGCTGGAGCTTATGCTTTTTAGAAGAGTACCTCAGGATGATGTGCAGAATGCGGTGTATTATAACAGCAAGCTCTTCAGTGCGCCTTCTTTTTCATTCTCTGGGATCCCAAGGATCTCCTAGTCCAAGTACATTTGCAATAAATGTGTTGGCAGATGGGATCCCTCTTGGAAGTTAAGTCCAAGACACTCAGCCTGCTTCTGGTTTTCTTTCCCTTCCCTCCCCCTGCACAGACTCTCAATATCGTGACACCACGTGTGCGGCCAGAGGATTGCAGCATCGGCCTCCTGCCCAGGAACCACGACAAGAACCGCTGCATGGACGTGCTGCCCTTGGACCGGTGCCTGCCTTTCCTCATCTCCGTGGATGGTGAATCCAGTAACTACATCAATGCTGCACTCATGGATGTAAGCAGCACCACACTGTCCCCGCTGATCCTACTGCATCGAGTTTATTCATTCTCAGGATACTCTTCTGGGAGAAAGGGATCCAAAGCAAAACACTTTCTTATATATGGTTTCTGGGTCTGACCTCTCCAAACTGGAAAGCCTCGAGAAGAGAAGATTCCAGAGGAGATGTTATTGTGGCTTTTCAGTTCATAAAAGAGGCCTATGAGAAAGATGGGGAGAGACTTTTTAGCAGGGGCTGTTGCAATAGAACGAGGGGTAATGGTTTTAAACTAAAAGAGGGAGGATCAGGCTGGACATAATGAAGACATTTTGTACGATGAGGATGGTAAAACACTGGCACCGGTTGCCCAGAGAGGTGGTGGATGCCCCATCCCTGGAGACATTCCAGGCCAGGCTGGATGTGGTTCTGGGCAACCTGATCTAGTGGCAGATGTCCCTGCTCATTGCAGGGGGTTTGACTGGATGAGCTTTGAAGGTCCTTTCCAACACAGACCATTCTGTGAAACTGGGCAAAGGCACATGTCTTTTCTGTCCTTCACAGGAAGGTGTCCCCTAGACTAGTTCTGCCTCACACTGGTGGAAAATTATGGACAAGAAGTTCATGAGCAGCCTGAGATTGTCTCTTCCCATACTCTGGTTGTTGTATGAGTTGGAAGATAAATGTTTGCCAGGTCAGCAACTTGAGAAGAATAATTTGTAGTGTGGAGCACAGGATTTATGTGAGCTTATGCAGTTAAAAATACGGGAGTGCTCGGATCAGATGTGCAGGATACTTCAAGGCTGAAGGACATGAGTTAAACTGCTGTGGATCTGTCTGAAGGCATTTTCCGTTGTTTGCTTATAGGCTGGAGTCCAACAGCACAGGTCATTTATGTAGATGAATTATGTTAATGGTTTCTTTTGCTGTTGTAGCTGACTGCCTTTGGACAGAGATGTCTTTAAAGCCAGGAACTGTTGAAGTATGTGTCACTATAATGCAGGGTGAAACATCAGCATTTTTCCCTTGACAGTGTTGGGTCGGTCTTGTTTAATTCTGTCCATTCCTTCAGTCCTTGGCAAACAGTGGTACCACTGCATTGAAGAGGTCAAGGCAAATGGTCACAGAATTAATTTCAGATTGTCTCAGAAAGATTGTGATGTTTTCATGGCAAATATTCCTAAGGAACCTTTTTGGTTTTCCTTTAAAGTGTGTTTCGTGCTTTGGCAAACCTGCAAAAGCACAATCTCTTCTGTGGTTTCTTAGGGACTGGGAATGTGTTTGCACATTTCAGCCCTCATTACCTCAAATCACTTTGCTAATACTTGTGTCATTCCCCACAAAATTCCTGTGAATTTCTACGAAGGAATTTTTCACCTGTCATTGAAATTCAGCTGGTGTGATGGTCTCTGGCTCTGCTTTATCCTGCCATAGATGAATCAGCAGCTTTAAAAAAGAATAGTAATCAGAGGGCAACAGCCAAAATCCCACATTTTCATAGGCTGTTGAGGACAGACCTTACAAATTCTTTGTCATTTCCAGTAGCTTCATGTCTGCAGTCTTGTATTGAGCATGGACTCTTGTAAGAGATCACCCAGCCCCTATTGCCTTGAGCTGTCATTAGTTGTTTCACTGTGTGCAGACAGGCACATGCTGGGAAACACTTGATAACACAGTCCCAGTGATGATCATTTCATTTACAGGTTTCTGATAGAATCATAGAATCAACCAGGTTGGAAAAGCCCTTTAAGCTCATCCAGTCCAACCTTTACCCCAGCACTGCCAAGGCCACCACTAACCCAGGGCACTGAGGCCTCGGCTACATGGGCTGTGAACACTTGCAGGGACAGTGACTCCAGCACTGCCCTGGGCAGCCTCTCCATTTCTTTTCTGTAAACTTCTTCCTCACCCTTATTTGCCTTGTAGCTTACCCTGTGTATCACATGAAAGCTGTGATGGAAGAAGTGCTAGAGCAGGAAGGGCTGATGGGACACCTAGGATGGGATACAGCCTGGGTTTGGAAGCATGAATTGTCCCAGTTGAGCAATATGGCAGCCTCCTCTGGACTGTGTTCACCAAAATTCACCCTTAGACACAAAACACCACTTGAATCCTCCCTCAGGGGTGAAGCACTCAGCATGGGCCCCTACCTAAAACTCTCTAGCCTCAGGCTGTTGACTGCAGAGCATTAAAAACCAGCCTCTTCTGCTTGGAGTTAGCTTTTGGAATACACCCAAAGGGCTACTGTTGCCCACAGAGGGGAGGACTTCTTCCCCAGCAGATTTCAGGACTCCTGACCTTTCCTCTTCATGTCCTCTGTCTCTTTTAAGTAAACAGCCCTTAGGATCTCTCCTGTGAGAATCATGGGAAAGCCATGTTTGCATCTGCAAAATGGTCTGTTAAGAAGAAAGGAGAAATACTGTCCCTCACCTTGCCCTAAAACAACCAGACATAATCCTTAAGCAAAGAGACTTTAGCCACATCTCTGAGTCAAGCCACACAGAAGTAGTGATAGGTTTGTACTTAAGGCATGGGGCTTGGAGAAAAACATGAGTCCATGCCATGTCCCATCGTTCCCCCAAGATCCTACATGTTCTCTAATATGTATTAAATATCTCTGTGTCACCTTCACTTTAAAATACAACAGTGAACCTGGTTCCTCACCTGCAGCAAAGAAAACAGGTTGGGCATGTTTCTTATTTCTCCTAATGGTGACACACATGAACACATCTTGCCTTCAACCAGCAGGTTACCAGTTATGCAGTCTGCTGTATGGGTGCACAGTGAATAAGCATAGCACAAATATTATGAGGTTCTTTAATTAAGAGGTAAGGGTGACTATTTCATTTACCACTCTGTTGTCACTGTTTGTCTGCTATGACATAGCTTTTGACCCATACTGCTGCTCCTAGGTTTGAAATACAGAGCAGGGGGAAAGAGGAAAGTAAGTTCCTTTTCCTTCCCTCTACTTCATGTCCCATTACCCTTCTCACATGTGCCCACTCAAAGTATGGTGCAGCCACCCTGCGAGGTAGTGCAGAGCATGCACAGCACCTTCTCCCTGTCCCAGCATGGGCTGCTCAACACTTCCACCCACATCTGACTCGGAAGAGACAGGCCCCCACAATGGCCCTCTTAATACTTCAGGTTTTATTCATTTCTTTAAATCCAAACCCTTAATATGTTTTGGGTTTTTCAACTCGGAAATATTGTGCCTTAGGATGCAAGTCAGCTCCACAGATGTCCAGCACCAAGTACGGAGCAATCTGTAGGCTCATTTAGGCCCTGGCTGCCATGGTTGGAAAGCAATAACCTTCCATCTCCAAGTGCCTCATGAGCATTCATTGACACAGCCCTGCAGAGGCTGGGAGCATGGTTCCTGCCCTTCGTGGTTAGGGACATTGAGGTCAGAGGGCTTTTCTCAGGTATAAAAATAGCACCAGACATTAAATGTCAGTGCTGCAGACTCTGAATATTGCCCCACAAGCTTAAAGGATGGCTGGAATCCAGATGTGCCACCTCTGTAGCACTACATCACCAGGGAGCAGTAGCAGACAGGGGGGCTAATCCCTTATGTAGCTCCTGGTGTTCATTGCAACAAAAAAAGATAACATTTGCTTCCAGCTGTTTTCTTCCCATTTATTAATATTTCTGATAGCAGTAGTAATAGTAGAATTAGTATTATTTGCTGAGTCTCAAAATATAAATAATTGATTTGGGTAATCTCTGCTCTTATGACACTTCTTTAATGAAATGTCTTCATTGGGAGGAAAAGAATCCCATTATGAGAGATTCATTCACTGCAGAGCGATAACAAGGAGAAGGATGCGTGATTTGTATAATCTGGTTAAATGGCTTCGTTGCCTCGCCACAGTCTCCCGGGTGCAATAGTCATTGGGAAAAAAAGTTGATTGAATTTCTTTTTAATTAATCTCACTCTTTTGTTAGAGCCACAAGCAACCTGCTGCCTTTATTGTCACCCAACACCCTTTGCCCAACACCGTAGCAGACTTCTGGAGGCTGGTGTTTGATTACAACTGCTCCTCTGTGGTGATGCTGAACGAGATGGATGCAGCACAGGTAAGTGGCTTTTCATCATTTCTGTCATGTAACTTTCTTCTCAAATCCAGATGTTTTTAAGAGTGTTTCTGCTCCGTTTTCTTGTGCCCCCTCCCACCTCCCCAGCCCAATATATAAATGAAGGGGAACTGGAAAGTAAAACGTAATGTTTTGGAGTATGATGAAGAGTAGGTCCATGTGCTTGACTCCTTCCAAGGCAGCTAATTCTTGCTGCAGTAAACAGGGATATCTAAATACATTGTGTTTGTGAGCCTGTATTTTCCTCCCAAACCCACTTTCAGCCCTTTCATATTTGTGTCTGTCTTTGGTTCAGGAAAATGTTCCCTAGCACAGCCCAGCATGTTTCGTGCTTGCCTGTCCACATGGTGTTTCCAGAAGAATAAAACCAAGAAAGATGCTGACCTCATTTGAAAGATCTTTTCCCTGAGTTTTCCAGTGCAATTCAGTAACACTGAGAAGTGTGGTTTGCACAGGTTCTGGAGAAGCAGGCGCTGCTCTGTATTGTTCTCTCTAGCATCATGTGTAAGCTGTTTCTTGGCTACTGAACACACCATTTTTGAGCTTGCCAGGGCAGGAGCTGTTGCAGCTCCTCCTGTAGCAGCATTTCCAGCCACCTTGCTGGTGAGTGGCAGAAGATAACAGCTTTCAAAAAGGCATAATCGTGCAATTTGTGTGAAGAGTACATTTGGCATGGCTAATTCACCCATTACAGCACTTGTTCAACAAGAGGAGAGGAACCCTCAAGTAGCTGGTGCTTCATGGATTCATTTTGCATTTGTCTCTTCTCTGTCTTCAAAATTTTACCACACCTGAAGGCAGCAAGTTTATTGGTCTGGGTTTTTTGATGGTGATGGAGAAAACAGTCCCCCCATTCATTGAGGGCATCTCCTTAAGGGTGAGGGAGATGGGATTTCATTTCCAGGCACAGTGAGAGCTCTGCTCAAAAGTGTGCTCCTCAGTGACTTGCAGAGTCCCACCACTGCGTGGGAATGGAGGTCCTGTGTATTTGCTGCCTCCTGTCCAGTTCAGCCTGCCTGATCCTGTATCTTGACATTCAATCCAGAGGCAAATTTCATCTTTTCCTTTTTTTTCCCTGACACTAAAGACACACAGTTTTTTCTGGAAATGACACACTTTCTCACACGTTGTACTTGGAAAGCAAACCTATCAGCCCCAGCCAGTGTCATTCGTGTGACTCTCTGCACAAGACTTTACCTGCTTCATTTATTTCCTACCAAAGTTTTGCTATTATGAGGTAGTCTGTAGGCACAGAAAAGAGGATTTGGCAATGCACAAGGTCACTTTCATGGTTACTCAACATGGTGTCACCTAGCTTGAGTCTGCAACCCTTAAGATCATTGAGTTCAACCATAAACTTAATGCTGCCAAGTCCACCACTAGACCATATCCCCAAGTGCCACATCTGCACGTCTTTTAAATACCTCTGGGGATGGTGACTCCAGCACTGCCCTGGGCAGCCTGTTCCAATGCCTGAGCACCCTCTGGGCAAGGAATTGTTCCTCAGCTCCGTCTAAACCTGCCCTGGTGCAGCTTGAGGCTGTTTCCTCTTGCCCCATCCCTTGTTCCTTGGGAGCAGAGACCAGCCCCCTCCTGGCTCCATCCTCCTGTCAGGCAGTTGCAGAGAGCGATAAGGTCCCCCCTGAGCCTTCTCTTCTCCAGACTAAACCCCCCAGGTCCCTCAGCCCTTCCTCATCACACTTGTGCTCCAGGCCCTGCTCCAGCTCCGGTGCCCTTCTCTGGCCCCGCTCCAGCACCTCAATGTCTCTCTTGTAGTGAGTGCCCCAGAAGTGAACACAGGATTCGAGGTGCAGCCTCACCAGTGCCCAGTGCAGGGGGACAGTCACTGCCCTGGCCCTGCTGCCACACTGGGGCTGATACAGGCCAGGATGCTGGTGGCTTCTTGGCTACCTGGGCACAAGCTGCTCATGTTCAGCTCCATCATTCAGCATCCCCAGGTTCTTTCCCATGAGCAGTTTCCAGCCACTCTTCCCCAGGCCTGGAGCATTTCATGGGGTTGTTGTGGCCCAGGTGGAGGACCCGGCACTTTACCTTGTTGAACCTCACACCACTGGCCACAGCCATCGATTCAGCCTGTCCAGATGCCTCTGCAGAGCCTCTTGCCCTCCAGTAGATCAGCAGCTCAGTTGTGAAAGTGATATGCCTGCACTGTCAATGTGTGACCATGTTGTAATTATGTAGGTGTTCATCACTGCGCTGTACCCTGAGCACTACCAAACTGTGGTGTACAGTTACCTGCAGGTACTGTATTTGTGTGCAGGGTGTGTTACTCCTCTCCATGAGTAGAACACAAATACAAAAAATGCTTATGTAAAAGCTGTGCCTGAACTATAGAGAGGAAAATAGTTAAAAAGGTAAGTGAACCTTTAATATGCTATGGAGGGAAAAGGTGCAACTAAAACCATGTGAAGGTCAGAGAAGATGGCAGTCAATTTTGGGCAGTGTATATCCATATACATTTGGATGATAGCCATTCACAGACCTGCTCTATGAAAAGCAGATTCTCAAGATGAAGGAAAGGTTTAATCTTTTTCTTCTTTCCAATGCACCTTGAGATTGTTTCCTAAAGCACCTAAAGCTCAGCTCAGATCTCCTTGGCTATTGGGCAGATGCTTTGAGAGGAGATCTATAGGCTGCTTGGAAGCCTGAATGAAGAGTAAAGACAACCTTCAAAGGAGGACTTGCTTAGGTGGTCTTGGCTGGCTTGCTTAATCTTGAAACACTCACAAGGGCAAAGATGCATAAGGATGCATGAATATCCCACCCAATTTCAATCCCATATGATCAAAGGAATAACAGGGATACAGAATTAATGCAGTAGCATGCACACTCTTGATGTTGGTACTGGCAATGATAGAACCTGAAAAGCTTGAGATCAAGTTCAAATAAGCATCTGGGGGGTTCAAAACTTCTAAAAAACTACAGTTGAAAATAGGAAGAAAAACCCAGAAAGAAATAAAATTCAACAGAAACTGCTAATGAGACCTCATAGAAATATTTTCTCACCATGATCTACTTCAGATGGATTTGAAATACCTGGATTGTAGTTTGTATGGGGAGGAGTTTTTCCTGTACTGTCAGTACTATCAGCATAAGAAAAGACTCCTGAGCTGGTTCACAAACTGCAGAGTTTGTGTGGCTCACCTGAGATCAGAGTTGCTCTCATTGCTTTCAGAGCAAACCCATCCTCCCTCCCCTGCTTGCTGGTAAAGGCCAAAAGCTAAAAGGTTCGTCTTACATTAAAAAAAGCAGTTCCACTTTGCTTGTATTAAGATGAACTTTAGTGGTGCATGCACTGCTTCCTCGTTCACACCAAACCTCTGTGGTTCCTACCAAATTTACCTACATATACACTAATCTTTTATGTTCATTTTAAATCTATACCCCTACAGAAGCATCATTTATCAGCCACTTTTTTCTCCACCTTCAGACCTCAGAATGCAATCAGTTACTAATTGTGCCCATACAGAAAAAAGAAGGGGGAAAAGTCAAGCTTCTAAAATAGATTTCTTTTTTTCTTCATATTCATGATATTAAAAAACTTGTACTGAGGCAGACGGAGGATTTCTCTGAGCAAATACATGTAATACAAGGTGGGTTATAGATTTTGAGCTGGTTATAAGTTCAACAGGAAAGAAGACTGAACATATATCTCCTTGTTAGTAGTTAAGATGCTTTATGTTTCTTCTGGCTTTTTCTCCAGCTCTGCATGCAGTACTGGCCAGAGAAGACGTCCTGTTGTTATGGCCCAATTCAAGTAGAGTTTGTTTCAGCAGACATTGATGAAGATATCATCAACCGGATATTCCGGATCTGCAACATGGCCAGGGTAAGAGCAGTGAGATACCAGCTTCCCTACTCTCAAAAGTCTATTTTGGCACGAGGAATAGGCAGAACCAAGATTTGTGGCTTAGAGATGCTGAATCCCTCACCTAGGAACAAAATTCCACTGCAGAATTTAGTAGCTACTTCTTTTAATTAACATGTAATTGCATCAGTCTGTGTTGGTAGAAAACTCTTGGCTGAAAGCAGAAAGTGAATGATATGAGCTGAAAACCTGTATTTAAATGTAAAGTGTTGTTCTGTCTATATTTGAGAACAATTAATCACTCTGTAGCCAATATAAAACCATTGGTATCATAGGAAATAAAACTGCGATGGTGTCAGCAGCTCTCCCATCTGTCAGCTGCTGTGCAGTGCCTCTGAAGGCAGGTCCAGTGTTTACTGGCTAGACTGGGATTCCCAATTGCCAGTTTTCCCTATAAATAAGCAGCTGCCATTTCTGTAAGTAACTCTGTGTCTGTGTCCCTCAGCCCCAGGACAACCGAAATGTTTCTGAAAACAAAGTTTATCTGCACACTGGACCCTGACAGTGCAACTTGAGGGCTGCAGGGAAGGCTTCCAGAGGAGGGCTTTTCTCTCTTTAGTTGTTTCCTACATTGATTTTATCTCCTTTTTAATTTTTTCTAATCAGAAATGGAAACAAGTTCCACAGATTACATTTCCATGGTGTTTAACACATCACTTTCTGATTGTGTGGTCAGAGCCTGAGCAGCAATTCAGTCATGGCATTGCAGAGTGAACCTTGTGGTCCAACTGCACAGTTGATACATCAGTTAGATATTTACCTTCTGTATCCCAGGCTAAATGCCTCAGAACCAGTCTTGAAATCATATAGCTGATAAGACCAAGGCCCTGTGAGTATCGGGATGGAGCTGGCTCATAACTGCATGGCTGGCAGGGTGGATGCTAGGAACTCACAGCTCTCTGCACCCATCTCAGCTCAATACCAGTGGCCACTGCAGAAGTCTTTATGAGGATCCTTTCCTGCCACAGCCCCCAGAGATTTTCTCTGAGGGCTGCCTTTGCTTTGCTCTTATGGCACAATTAATCCCCAGCACAGCCAACCAGGAAAGAGACATTCGATCTGTTCATACAGTTTGGTGAGACTTTATTCTCTACTAGAAACAATAAGGGATCCTGTGCGCCTAGTTTCTGCCTGGCTCTGTAATATCTGAGGTCATCATTGTTATCCAGATTACTGAAAAGTCCTTGTTTCCTCACTGCATCAGCTACCCAGAGTGGAGGATGTTAATCATAAAATCATAGCCTGGTTTTTGTTGGAAGGGACCTTAAAGCTCATCCAGCTCCAACCCCCTGCCACAGGCAGGGACACCTTCCACTAGAGCAGGTTGTTCCAAGCCCCTGTGTCCAACCTGGCCTTGAACACTGCCAGGGATGGGGATTAGCACTGATGATGTCAGATCCAGAGGGGAAAATGTAACCAGTGCCTCCTACTTTACCTTAACTCTGCTTCCTGCACCATCCCCTCTTACATCTTGAAAATGCTCTTTGTTTCAGCCACAGGATGGGTACCGCATCGTTCAGCACCTGCAGTACATTGGCTGGCCAGCATACAGGGACACCCCTCCTTCCAAACGCTCCCTCCTCAAGGTGGTCAGAAGGTTGGAGAAGTGGCAAGAACAATACGATGGGAGAGATGGACGGACTGTTGTCCACTGCCTGTAAGTAGGACTGGAGACTGTCTGTAAGCTCATGAAATGCTGTCTGAAGAGCACTGATGATGGATCTGGAAATCTGGTGGTTTGCCAGGCTTCAGCTGAGGAAAATAAAGTTAATTACATTTGTAATACACTTCAAGTTGAATATTGTGCTGCTTTATAGCATCCTGGCCCAGAGATTTTACCAGCTGCAGTGAGGAGTAGCTGAAAAAGCTCTGCTTTCTACTGCATAGATAGGTCTCATGAGTGGACCCCAGACGCAACCGAAGCAGTGCTGCCACATGTCCCAGTGTGACCACACAGGTGCAGTGAGGAGCAGCACTACAGTCCCTGGGACTTCCTGTCCACCACTGCCAGAGATGAGCTTAGCTCTTCCACCCATCTACTGCCCTGCAGATCTCCACTTTCACAAACCCCTGAATGTTCTTCACCTGTCCTTATATTACAGACCTTCCTTAGCATATGTGGTGTGAGAGCTGTTGTGTAAGCAGTGCTCTCCTCCATTCCCTCAGCCTTCATAAAATCCCAGCCTGGTTTGTGTTGGAAGGGAGCTTAAAGCTCCTCCAGTTCCAACCCCTGCCATGGGCAGGGACACCTTCCACTAGAGCAGGTTGCTCCAAGCCCCTGTGTCCAACCTGGCCTTGAACACTGCCAGGGATGGGGCAGCCACAGCTTCTCTGGGCACCCTGTGCCAGCGCCTCAGCACCCTCGCAGGGACTCACTCGAGCAGGTCCATGTCCTGTCTTCACCTGTTGCCTCTTTTCTTCTGCTCCCAGGAACGGTGGGGGACGCAGCGGCACCTTCTGTGCCATCTGCAGCGTGTGTGAAATGATTCAACAGCAGAATATCATTGATGTGTTCCACATAGTGAAAACACTACGGAATAACAAATCGAACATGGTGGAGTCACTGGTAAGCTTTTTTTTCCCCTCTGCCTTATCCCACGCAGCCTATGCAGGGAGACTTCAGGATAGGTAAAAAAGACCATAGAATCCTAGAGTGGTTTGTTTTGGAAGGGACCTTAAAGCTCATCCAGTTGCAACCCCCTGCCACAGGCAGGGACACCTTCCACTAGAGCAGGTTGCTTCAATCCCTGTCTGACATGGCTTAGCCCAATATGAGTCGAAATGAATCAGAACATTAATCCATCAAAGTTAAAATCAGTCCCATTTTAGCATGTGCAATGAATCCTCCGGTCCTGATGCTTCCCTGAACGATGTCTCCCATGGCCAGCTGCCTCCAGGGGGTTAAACTCCAACTCACCATCAGTGTGGCTGTGGGGAGTGTGGGGATTTCTCCTCCTGTGCCTGCATACAGCCTGGCACTAAATGCTGTGACATGCCTTGAGGCCAGGCAGGGAGAACAGACCAAGCCCCAGGCCGTGATCCCTGCAACCAAAGAGATTAAACTGTCCTGAATTCAACCATCCCAATCAATCACACTGAATTCTTTCCTCAGAATCAATGTGTGCAATGAGTGCTTGAAGCAAACAATGAATAGTCCATACTGTGGCTGTCTCTATGAGTGTTTTGTCTCTATGAGTGCTTTTCTTTTCCACTGGTGATACCATCTCTTAGTAGTGCTTGCTCAGGATTGCATAGAAAGCCATTGCTGCTTGCCTGGTGCTGCCAAATGGTGTAGGAAAGAGGGAGAAGGCATTTTTGGCAGCTTGCAGAATGAGGCTCTGAAGAATTTACCCATATCCTAATGCCAGTGATTTCTGTTCTCTCTTTCAGGAACAGTATAGATTCGTATACGAGGTTGCACTGGAATACTTGAGTTCCTTTTAGCGCAGTGGAGGCAGGGGGGCCTCTGGAATGCCAGACCCCAATCTCTGGCCAACGCTTCTCCCCTCTCCCACACTGGAAGGCAGTGACAAGCGTGGGAAGGAAAACCTCTCCTTCCCAGAGCGAGAGACTGAGACTGCACAGATCTGTCTGGACGGAGGAGCCAATGCTGTGTCTGCAGCTGCCTGCTTTCTATCGAACATCTACTGCTTCGTAAATAACCTCCTGTCAAAATTAGCAACACGGGAGACAAGCTCAAGACTGGACTTTCCAATCCCCTCTGACTTCTTCTCTCCTCTTTGGGATTGTATTTTTGCTCTCCTTGCTGCAGAGTGGGGAAGGAATGAAACCCTGAGGAAATTCTCTTTTCAATGTCTCCTTTTTAATTTATAATTTTGTTCTGAAATCCCAGTCTCTAAGTTTTTTAATTCCATGCAGCAGTCATTTGGGACAAATGAGATAGCCATAGGGGACATCGGAAATGTTTCATTACCATTTGTCTGCCTTCCTTGTTTCCTTTTATTTGTTTTTCCAAATGAAAAGGCCAACGCAAGAGAAAAAAAACCCAACCCACCAACATCGGAATTCTCTTCTCATATGTAGTTCCTTTTAGCATGAAAATAGATGGTGGAGATGAGAAGCCGTTCATGGATTCACTGCCTTGGCTTCTGCCCAGATGTTTCCTCCCACTTTCTGCTAGGCTCCCAAGGCTGTGCATGAACCAGTTCCAGCTCTGGACTGTGTTCCATTCAGTGCTGGTGAAGCAAAGCCAGGAATGAGTTTCCCAGGCACTTGAACCTTAAGGTTAAATATTTGCATCAAACAAATTGCATTTGTCTTGCAATTGGTAACTTTGTTACCACGTTTTTCAAGTATTTGCTGGGGTGCAGTGTGTTTGACAAACAGGGTATACAGTAGGTATTATTGATCATATACTATGTATTGCTATTTTTTATTTATTACTTGTATTGCTGTACAATACAAACTCGGGACCCCTAGTCACGACAGGACCCTGATGAACTAGGCACTGTGCCAACAGAGGACAAAGAAGGTTCCTGCTCAGGAGCTTCTGAAGATAAGTCTTAAAATTGGGCTTGCTCAAAATTTCCTCACTGTTTCCAAACTGGTGTACAATCAGATGCAGTTGACTGATTTATTCAGATCTCCTTCAAAATGGTAACCCATCCAAGGTGCAGGAAAGGTGACGTACATACACAGAAACCTATTCTGGCATGTGCTAAGGAAGGGTTAGACCAGCACAGCAACTCCCCTTCTTAAACAAATCAGCTCTTGTTTTATTCTGCAGAAATGCCTGTGCAACTCTCCTCCTTTGCAACAAACACCAGATGTGTTTTGCCATGTTCTGGGTCTCACTCTGACTTCTCAGCAGCTAAGAAATTGCTTTTCTGAGGGGTATGTTGAAGTAGTTAATCACTGAGGTCTGCAGGGTAATCTTGGAGAAAAAAAATAATTGAATGAACAAGGCCTTACAATATTCAGTATTTCAATTTAGCCATTTATTTATCTTGAAGGTGCAGGGATATGAGGCTGCTCTGTGTGTAAATTAGATTCTGGGAGATGAAGGTTTCTTCAGATACAGACTTGCTCAAAGATAGACTGAAGAGTTTAAGGAAACTCCACTTTCTTACCACTCTCAGGTAAATACTTGGAAACTGTGCTGGGAGCTCTGTCATGTCGGTGCCTGGCACGGAACATGCCAGGAGTTCTAAACAGGTTACTAATTCTGTATGTAAATTCAAAAGGCACCTCTACTTCATGGTCGTTATTGTATCAATAGTCATACCTTTGCCTTGACAATGAAGGATGAAAATCTGATTAAAACAACTCTCGACTCATACAACATACCAGTATCTAACCAAATAGTTATCATTAATACCAGGACCTGCAACAGTCTAAGGAAGGATGCTTGGAACAGCAATAATCCTCTTCCAGAGAGAAGAGGAGGGGCTTCATAGAATGCTGAAGCACCCAGCTCATATTCGTTCTGAGGAGCTGTGGATTGTTAAAAATCATGAAGGTTTTAAATGAGCTAGAATCAGATTCTTCCTGATGTAGCCAGTGTGCCCTAAAGTATCGGTGAGAAACCCTTCACAGGTGCCTCTGCTCTGCTTCTATTTGGTCCTTTCTGAAATCATGAATCATAGACTCACAGGTTGGTTTGTGTTGGAAGGGACCTTAAAGCTCATCCAGTCCCAACCCCTGCCATGAGCAGGGACACCTTCCGCTAGAGGAGGTTGCTCCAAGCCCCTGTGTCCAACCTGGCCTTGAACACTGGCAGGGATGGGGAAGTCCCCTTTAGTTCCTATTGGGGCTGTAGATAGATATCTGGCATATCATGAAACAAACTACTGGGGAGGGGGGGTTGGGGGGGGGGGGGGTTGGTGGTTTTTTCCTTTTGCCACTAAGCTGCTTCTCTCTAGGAGAAAAAAAAATAGAAAGCAAAGCAAAACTCTGAGTTAAAAATGAGAAGGAAGACATGTATTTGTGTTCTGCTTACAGGTGGCTTGCTGCAACAATGTAGGTCAGGAGTTGTGAGCCATTAGCAAAGAGAGAGAATCCTGATCGCAGAAAGGGCTTTTTCAACAACTGCCCAGGTAGGAAGAAGCTACAAGTCAGTGAAGTTTTTGTGCCTTCACTAAGCCCAGAAGGCCAGAGGGAATCACTCCCTGTGGATACTATGGAAATGGTAATTAGTAGTTAGCATGGAAACTAGCATAGCGATAGGTCCTCCTCATGAGTTACTGAAAGCACTGAGGGGGACAGCCAGGATAAAAGGACTTGTTAGGTAGAAGAAATGGCAATAGGATTGAGATGTGAAGTGTAGGAGGTAATTCAAGGCTTAACAGTAGCATGAAGGAAAGTGGATTAAAAAGCCAGAAGGAAGCTCACAGGAGGGATGTGTGTGTGGAGAGCAGGAGTTGCTGGATGAGCAGAGCAGCACAGAACTTGCAGTAGAGTTATTTAAGGTTTTGAGGTGTAGGTTTGAATGTGTTTGACTGAAGGGTCAGGTCCTGTCTCAACTGACCCACAGCAACTCGCCATGTGCTTTTAGCCCTCTGCAAATGCCAAGTGATGGTAGCATATACTGCAGGGAGAGAGATTAAGCTAAATTTTACCTTTGATTTGCAAGGAACAAGTTTAATACTGGTTACCACAGCCTGTTAGTCATAGCTTATGATGTGGTAACTCTGCTGTGTGTCTCAACCTTCTTGTAATGCCCACCATACAATCTCTGTGGAAAGATGCTCAGCACACTACAGATGGTGTTGCCAAACTGTTATATCATCATGCTTTCGAAGACTGACCAGCTCTGTTTTGGCTCAGGGACCTTTATGCTGTTCCTTACTGCAAGACGCATATATGCTGAACGGGAATTAATGATGAAGGGAATTGTGTCGGAAGAGAAGAGGAGCTATTTTAAATAACCTTATTACCTTGAGGTTGTTTAAACCCTAGAGAACAGCCTGTAGCAAAATAGGTGGTGCACTGAAGCAAGATTATGGGTGATGGCCTTGTTTTTGCTGGGAAACGGAGAAAATATGAGATGAGCTAAAGGAACTTTCTCACTGCTGAAAGGCTTAATAGTCAGGTTGAGCTTTCCAACCTGAGCACCCCCTGCTGTGGATGGAAAGCAGTAATGTACAGTAGAAAAGGTGAATTCCTCAATGTCTGATTTTTAGGCTGGTAAGATATAACATTGACAATGTTTGAATGGACATAATGAAGAGAAAGTCCCATTCAGACATCCTGCAGGAGTGAGGGAGCACTATTGATAGCACAGTGTTGGTCTAATGTTTAGTCTGAACTACAAGGAACTAGAAATAGATAAAGAAGGATGGTTCAGGAGTGACTGACTCGGGGTGAAACATCTCAAATTGTTAAGGGATAGAACTGAAGCAGTGAATTCCAGAGCTATCTAGGCTGGCTGCTGGAGAAGGAATACTGAGTTGTCTGCAGGGAAAAGAGAGAGCAAAACCCCCTAGAAGGTACAGTGGGTCTTAACAATCTTTTCTTTTTGTAGTTCTCTGTGTGTGTTTGGTGGTGGTTTGTAGGTTGGGTTTTTAGTCATGATATCTGCAGGAGCTGTGTCCTTGCTCTTCTTTTTGTTTTGCCTTCGTCAAATTACCTGTAAGGAGAAAAGGCTTTCAACCTTCTGTAAATAAACTTGAGGGACTTGTTTATTGACTGAAAGCAAAGAGAAGATGCAAGGGAGCACATTGTACATACAAAGGTAACAGAATTGGACCTCTGGTAGCAAGCAAGCGGGAATCTGGTGGGTTTATTTATGGCTGCAGTTTGAAATAATTGGTATTCTCTGATCAGGGCAGTCAGTAGGAGGCCTTTCAGTTTGTGATTTAAACTCTTCAGCAAGGTTGCACAGAATTATCATAGAAATCATGAAATGAGGTTTGCCTTTGCCAGTCTCTGGTGGTTACTCTAACTTACTCACATTTTAGCCATTTATGTGAGCTTGGGTTGTCCATTTTGGTCAGTAGTTTCCAACCTTTTATTCTGGATCTGAAAAAAAACCCTGTAAAAAGAAAGTCCAGTAGCAATGTAGACCCCACAGTAGTAGGTGTAAGCACGCAGGTAGTAGACCTGTTTTTCCATTTACTTTTCACAGGCTCTTTAGAAGTAGTTTGTGGGATTTCCCTTGGGAATCTCAAGCCAGGGATTGCTGGTCACTGCTCTTGATGTGCTGTAGAGTCAGAGAAAGGAGAAGGTGATTCAGAAGGCAGTTAAACCAATTGCCATCAGGAAGAGAAGAAACCTCCTTTGGGAGAAACAAACATTGGAGGAGAAGGCAGATTAACTGGAGTCCTGAAACAGGTAGGAAACGTGCACCTTGTTCTGTCTCTTACGCTTGCACGGCTGCTCTTGTGTCTTTCTTACTCTTCCAAGTTCGTGCCAGGATCATAAACACCAGGTAATGCTACATTCCATGCTGTGGAGCAATGTGGAGATGGAGCAGAGTGTTACAGAGGGAATAAATCCTGAGAGACAAAGATAAAATGAGGTTTGCTCGAGAGAGGAATCTGCAAATACGAGGCATCTCTGCCACACTTGCAGAATTCTTATCAAGTCATCCGAGCACACAGAGTCCTGGAGCAGCCAGTGGAAATGTTCCACTTGGAAAACTTCAAGTTTAAACAATCAACTCTGTTACGTGGGTAGCACAGTTAACTTTAATGATATCTCCAGCTAGTGCAAGGGGCATCTCCAGCGCTTCGTGTAAGGTGCTGTATTTTCATTTGGGATTCTTTCATTTCTCTTCAGTGTAACACAGTTCAGTCAGCCCTGGTTTGTTAGACAAATAGAGTCCCATGTGGCAAAAGTTATTTAGCATAACCACTGCCTTTGGGTGAAAACCTCAGTAGACCTCCTAGGACACTCTCAAAAGGTAGAACAAACTACTGCATCTTCCCTGCACAGACGTTTACATGAGTAGAAAGGGGGAGCCAGCTGATGGAAGTCAGGGAGACAGAACTGAGTAGTAAGGATTGTTAACCACTCTGTGTTCC